CGTGGTTGAGGCTCCATCCGTCGACACTTTCAAAAGAAAGTTGGATCAACTGAGAGACCACCGTTGTCAGGACTAACATAGGCCATCGAGCCTCCTGTCCTTCCCAAACTGAAACTGAATTAATCGCATGACCTATTCAGGCGCTTTTATGAAAAGCCTACGACCATTCGCTGCACAAGTTACAAAAAGTACTATAAAAGACATCGTGGTGGTTGGTAATATGCGTTTAAGAGAATGAACATTATTCGTATGTCGATTCCCGAGCTGCTAAATTCTAACTGCCGATCACTAATCAACAAAGTGGACTATCTGCAATTCCCCCTAAGTCGAAATATGTATCGCAATTGTGGTATCATCACAATTCAAGAATCTTGGTTAAATAATTTACAGGATGACTGCCTAGTATCACTACGTGATTTCAAAACTTATCATCAGCATCGATCAAACAACAAAAAAGGTGTGGTGGCGGTGTAGCTGCGTTTGTAAAAATAAACTGGTATCGATCTTCGTTTGTGTGTTTTAAGTTTTCAAATGACTTTATCGACTGTCTAACTCTTAGATGTCGTCCAAAACATCTGAATAAATACAAATATGTTTATGTTACCAATATCTACGTGATTCCAGATTGCACATCATCTGCGCTATCTGTTTTACTGATGAATTCACTGAGTTCGCTGTTACTGTCTTCAGTGATTCACTTTCAGTTGTATGTGGTGATTTCAATTCATGTGACTGTAGATTCCTTACGTCACTAGGTCACCGAAAGGTAGTAGATTTTCGTACCCGTCTGGATGCTCATCTAGACTTCGTCTTCATTAATGATGTGGGTATATATGCGACTCGTAAACGTGCTCCATTGTCTAGCTCAGATCACTGTATAATTCGTGTTCTGCCTAAAGTATATGGAAAGCATGGGAAGAGTACACTCTAACGTCAAACCAGGAAAGTCAAATATAGGAATTACTCAGAAGAAAATATCCGAAATCTGAAAACCATGTTTCATACGACTAACTGGGAATTATTTACAGATGACTCAATGGAAAACACTACTAATGTTATCACTTGTTACCTTAAATTCTGTTTTGTAAGTTTTGATCGACTTGCATCTTCACAACTAAAACGACTACGAAGGATGAAAGAAAGCATGTACAAGGAGAAGAACTCTAATAAAGTTCGCATACTGTGTTCTGATAAACCTAGAGATTAGACGTCTCAACTGTATGTTTACTCAAAAGCTAATGTCTTGCAAAAACTCTCCAAGTATGTGGAAATTCTTTAAAGAACTTACAGGTAACAGAAAGTTTAGAAGCGATAACCAGCTGAATGTTTGTGACTTAAATAAGTCTTCTGTACGTCAGTCATCTGATGTGATGCTACCTCTATCCACGGGTTTAAAAACTAGCTGCGTTCCTACTTTCACTGAAACTGATGTCCGAGGATGTCTCTAGTCGCTTAATTCATCTCGATGTTTGGGTCCTGATGGTATCCCAAACATCCTTTTTAAAAAATGTGCTGACGTTCTGTGTCATCCGTTCACAACTATATTTAACAGATCCTTCTCATCTAATCTCATACCGAGAATGTGGAGAAAGATGAAGATAATTCCTGTACCCAAGAAAGCATTTGGTGATAAGAATGTAAAATTAAGACCTATTGCAATAACTTCACCCTTCCTCAAAACCATGGAAAAATTATTAATACTTCCACTTCAGCCTGCGATGAAAGAGCATACTGACTCATACCAGTTTGCATACAGGCGCAAAAGAAGCACTTTAGATGTTGTTGCAGTTCTGCATCACAACATAGTGTTCAACTTAGAAAAGGGCAAGAAGTATGTTCGATGTACTTTTCTGGACTATACTTCAGCTTTTGACTCTATACCAAGACAACGTTTACTTAACAAGTTAATCAGCGTCAACACTGACAGCTGGATAACCAACTGGCTATGTTCCTACCTCTCTGGAAGGGAACGGTACACTGTGTTTGGAAGAAAGAGTTCAGAGTCTCTACTATCTCAGGGAGGTGTACCACAAGGAGCTGTTCTTTCACCTCTTCTATTCTCTTTTTTTCTTCATGACCTGCCATCTTCCACAGAAAACACTTTTTTGAAGTATGCGGATGACCTCACTGTATGTATGCCTATATCTTCCTCTTTACATCCCATAGAAATGAATGAGTTTTTGTCTCGTATTAATTGTTGGTCTGTTGGTAATGGTCTCATACTTAATCCGTCTGAATGTCAAGCTGCTAACTTTAGCATGTAACATAACCGGAATATAAACACTATTTTGAGATCCCATAGTGCTTGTACCATCGGAGACCCTTTGATAAACACAGTGTCGAAGGTCAATTATCTTAGTGTCACCTTTTCCTCTGACCTCTCTTGGTTTACTCACGTTTTATCGTTATCGAAGAAGGTTTTCCGTCTGACTTACTACATAAAGAGATTACATGCCCTTGGGATTACTCGTCACTGACTCATACAATTTGTAAATTCTTGCATATCATCTATTATTCTTTACTGTTCTCCATTATTCTTTCCCGGGCTTCTGAGAAAAGACTTTGCTGTATTGCGAAGAGTGCTGAAGGCAGTTAGCAAGATGTGTGGTGAATCTTTCGAGGTCATAATTAATATGGTTGTGGATAGACATTTAAAATCATGCAAACTCCTGGCAGGTGTCATTTTATCAGATACTAGCCATCCCCTTCACTCTTATCTTTCCCCTTGTATATCCTCTGGTAGAACGAGACGTAATTACATTAAAATCCATGCACGCAAGGAAAAGTATAAAAGTTCTATAATACCTTACCTAGCAAATATACTCTGTGACGAACAGGTTGTTAGAATTAACCTAGTCTATAACTTACATTATTAACATGTCTTTAATTTTAAAACGTTTGTACAGTTTTTCTGTTTTTTTTTAAAATTTTTTATTTTTTATTTTTTTAAAAACCTTTTTTTAAATTTCTTTTTGTGTTTGCTACTGCTTTTTTGTTCGTTGTTCAGTAAGTAACTTGTTGAATATACCCTGTGCTGAGAATTCTATATTGTACTAAAATATAGTATTGAATAAAGCCATTATTAATAAAAAAGCAGAGGGATAGATGAGTAGAGTATTTCGAGGAAATCCTGAATAGGCCGGCTCCAATGAATCCACCGGACAGTGGAGCAGCACACACAGATCTTCCCATAGATGTCAATTCACCAACGACGGAAGACACCAGAATGGCCATTAGACAAATCAAGAGCGGTAGACCCGACAATATACCAGCTGTAGCACCGAATGAAATCAGACATCGAAGTAACTACAAACATGCTTCACCTTCTATTTAAAAAGATTTGGGAGAAGGAACAAGTGCCGATGGACCGGAAAGAAGGACACCTCATCAAGATTCTAAAGAAAAAAGATTTGAGCAAATGTGAAAACTACAGAGGCATTACAGTACTGTCAGTACCAGGGAAAGTCTTTAACAGTGTTGCTGAATAGGATGAAAGATGCAGTAGACGCCCAACTTCGAGATCAACAAGCTGGATTCTGTAAGGATCGGTCATGCACAGACCGAATTTCGACAATACGGATCATCGTTGAACAATCAATTGAGTGGAACTCGTCAATGTACATCATTTTCATTTATTATGAAAAGGCATTCGACAGTGTAGATAGGAGGACATTATGGAAACTTCGACACTACGAAGAAGATTGTCAATACCATCCGGAACTCATATGACGTACTACAGTGCAAGGTCGTGTATGGAGGACAGCTGACAGATGCATTTCAAGTAAGGACCGGAGTTAGACAAGGCTGCCTACTCTCTCCCTTCCTCTTTCTTCTGGTGGTTGACTGGATTATGAAGACCTCGACATCTGAAGGAAAACACGGATCACAATGGACAGCTCAGAACCAATTAGACGATTTGGACTTCGCAGATGACCTAGCCCTCCTATCTCATACACATGAACAAATGCAAATAAAGACAGCCAGTGTAGCAGTAGTCTCTGCATCAGTAGACCTCAGCATACACAAGCGGAAAACCAAGGTCCTCAAATTCAACACGGAGAACAGCAATCCAATCACTCTTGATGGCGAAATTCTGGAAGATGTAGAATCCTTCACATACCTGCGAAGCATCATCGCTGAACAAGGAGGTTCAGATGCAGACGTAAAGGCGAGGATTGGTAAAGCAAGGGTCGCATTCCTACAATTGAAGAACATATGGAACTCAAAATAATTCCCAACCAATATCAAAGTGAGGATCTTCAATACCGACGTTAAGGCAGTTCAACCGTAAGGAGTTGAAACTCTGAGAACTACTACAACCATCATCAAGAAGATGCAAGTATCTATAAATGGTCGTCTACGCAAGATACTCAATGTCCGTTGCTGGCCGGATACCATCAGCAACAGCCTTCTCTGGGAGAAAACAAACCAGCTTTCGGCTGAAGGGGAAATTAAGAAAAGACGATAGAAATGGATAAGACATATATTACGCAAATCATTAAACTTCATCACGAGGCAATTCCTAACTTGGAATCCTGAAGGGAAGCTGAAAAGAGGAAGGCCAACGAACACATTACGTCGGGAAATCGAAGCAGATATGAAAAGGATGAATAATGACTGGAAGGAGCTGGAAAGGATTGCTCATGACATGGTTGGCTGGAGAGTGCTGGTGAGCGGCCTATGCTACTTTAAGAGGAGTAACAGGCGTAAGTAGATAAGTGAGCTGCAAACAGCTTGCTATTCAAAACTTCGGACTTCTTAGCCATAAAGGCTGACAATGACACGTGGAGTAGTAAAAAAGTTTACGATTTCGGCTACACTACAAGATCAACTAGGCCAGATCTTTCTCTTAATGATCTAACAAAATATAAAGTATCCTGATCATTATGAATATACAAGTGATCTGTTGCGCTTATTTCTATTGTTTTCTGGAATAAAAACCTACGAAGACACAAAGGTTTTAAAACTCATTACTTGATGGCAAATTGCGTGTATACATTACAAACATGTGCGCTACTGTTGGTAATGTGTCTGAAGAGAAGGAGTGCTTTGTCTTTACTGAGTTCAGACATTATGATCAGGTTATGAAGTTGATATCAAGCATAAAGTTTGAACTGTCAGATTTTCGCAAGAAAGAGAACTTAGAGGATACACTTGTCCGTATGTATATTACATTCCCTTGGTTGATAGATAGAAATATTCAACTATTACCAGGAGCAGCCACATCTGCTTGATCCTTATCTTGGAAAAATGATATCAGCATGCCTGGATGTTGTGCACTGTTCTCGCTCAGAGCCTGAAGTTTTTCACTTCGCGTTCAGGATCTTATATCTAATGACAAAAACCCGAGGTTACAAGGCCATTATCCGTTTGATGCCACATACGGTTGATGATATTGAACCAACTTTAAGTCTTCTCATGGAGCAAGATATAAATGATTCAAAGGTACTGTTTGTATGTTTCCAATACGTAAATCCATCCCTAGAACTGGGAGACGCGCTATGTTCTTATCCTTTGGTTATCAATCTTGGTAATGGTCCCATTCAACTTGGAAAATCTTGACAGTTTTGGAAAAAAACCTATAATTGAGCGTGTAATTGATTTAGCCAAGCTCTACCTTTTTCAGGATGAGCGTACTCAAGAAGCAGCTGCTTTCCTTCTTGCGCATACTGTTACCCGGCCAGATGCACTTCATGCCCAGCTACCATCAGTAATTTCGTTTGCAATTAAAAATCTAGGCTTTACTGATGGTAAGTGTGAAGTCTTTGGATTTTTATTAAACAGTGGTATAGATTGACTGAAACGTGTTAATCTGTTTGTTGAAACACTCCAGTCGTTACGTTTGTATTTCTTTAATATCCCTGTATGTTTGTATCATCACGACTTTTTTAAAGTTAAATTTGATCATTGGAACGTAAATTGTGCGCGAATTTTCTATTTTTGTTATTGTGCAGCAAAGATTCATCCGTCGTTGGCTACTAATTCCAGAATATCATGTCAGTCAGTCAGTCAGCTACAACGTAGGACCAGGCACATTTATGCATCGGTCCAAGTTGCCATACCTCATTAACACAACAAGATGGACACCGGATTCATAAAAGTAGTTAATTCAGAGGTGGTAATATTTAAAAGAAAGATTGCATTAAGAATATAGTACAGGAAGGAAGAATTAGTTCCTAGAACGAAAGATATGAAGCGATTTTAATCTCTTAGTTTAAGGGTACAAGAGAGCGCCAATATATATGCGCCACACAAAACAATGAAAATTCAAGAGGAACACGAAGAAAGAAAGAAAAAAAAGCTAAGGAGCGCAACAAAAAAGGAGAGAACAATAACGAAGAGATTGGTGTAAGGTAATGTGCTAGTAATCAGGGAACGCAAAGGTACAATCGGAAGAAATCTTTCAGGTAAGGGAGACAGAATCACTTTTTATGAAGAAAGTAAAAGAAGGTTACAGCAGGATCGCCACTGGCTTCTATTCTGAGCCATATCTGATAACGTCTCTAGCCACTGTGTAGCACCATCTCTGAGACCCCAACCAGGGAGTTGTGAAGGACCAACAGAAGTCAGTCCTTTGCAGCTTTCTTTCATGCCACGACACCATGTCATGCACTGACCACCTCTCCACTTCTTCCAACCAGTCCCAGAGTCGGCAAATAATGCACGACGTGGAATTCTCTGGGACGACATTCGTAGAACATGTCCAAGCCACCGAAGTCGGTGTTTCAAGATGGTAACACCAATTGAATTATCATCTCTGTGCCCGAACACACGATGCCGAGCCTCTGTATTACTGACATGGTGTTGCCAATGAATGTCAGCAATCCTTCGGAGACAGCGATGATCGAACACAGAGAGTCGTCTAACGTCCTCAACTCGGAGAGACCAGGTTTCACAAGCATAGAGCAGAACTGCTCTCACCGACGCGTTGTAGATCCGACCTTTTACAGCCAGACTAATATCACGAAGGCGCCAAAGATGGCCCAGATTGGCATAAGCCACTCTGGCTTTCACTATTCGTGCATTGATCTCATCACTCACACCCCCACCAGCACTTATGCAGCTACCCAGATACACGAACTTCTCGACTACGTCTATCTGCTCACCATCCAGGGTGAGTACAGGATTGGAATCCTGTCAGTCTTGTAGGAGTACTTTGCACTTCCAAGGTGCAAAGCACATACCATACCTACGGACACTGATTGCCAACTGATTAAGTGCGTATTGCATGCCTTGGGCATTATCGCACAGTAAGACAATATCGTCCGCATACTCAAGGTCGAGAAGTCTTTCTCCAGGCAACAGATCCACACCACCATTACTTACATTCATCAGAGCTGCTTCCAGAATGTCATCGATGGCAAAGTTGAAGAGGAATGGTGAGATTGGGCAACCCTGCCTAACCCCACTACTCGAATGAAACAATGGAGAGAGGTGGTTGTATGCCCTCACTCTGCCTGAGGTGTTTGTATATAGAGCTTCTAGGATGTTAATAAACTTCTCAGGCACACCCTTCTTCAATAGACAATCCCAGAGAACAGTCCTATCCAACGAATCGAAGGCAGCCCTGATGTCAAGAAACACTACGATTGTTGGCCTTTGATAAGTATGGCGATGTTCTAACATTTGGTGGAGGGTGACGATATGATCAATTGATCCTCGACCAGAAGGAAACCCAGCCTGCTCCTCGCGAGTCAATCATTCTCGGGTTTTGAACAACCTATGAAGTATGATGGAAGCCAATAGCTTGGACGCAATCAGATGTAGACTTATCCCCCGATAGTTGTTGCAGGAACGACGTGAACCCTTTTTAAAGATAGGGACAACTATCGACTCATTCCATGACATTGGTACACTTTCTAGTTCCCAAACCAGCTGCCCTTCCTCGTTTCAGATTAACTATAGCCTTTTGAACTTCTGCTAGAGTTGGGGGACCTACTTCAATGTTCCATCCACACTGTCTGGGAATGGAGGGTAGTTGTAGGGTAGCTGAAGACCAGCTGAACTATTTTCTGAAGTGTTCCGCCCATCGTTCTAAACGTCTGGACTGAGAGCAGATGAGGGTGTCGTCTTTTTCCGAAATAGTCTGACTTACACTTGACTTATTAATTATAGTTTCTTTTATTAGTCTGTAGAGCTGTCTTGTGTTCCCTATAGCCGCCGCCTTTTCCATCTCTTTTGTTTTCATTGCCCAACACTGCTCACGGTCGCTCCTTAGACTTTTGCTTAACCTAGACCTGATTTGTTTTCGCTCTTCATCATGTTCAGAATCTGATGGGATGAGTTTACGAGAATCCATCAGTGCAATAGAAGTAGAGGAAATCCATTGCTTCTTTGTAACCCTGTGGTTTAAACCACTGATAGATGTCACTGCTGTTTGTATAGCTTTCCAAGCAACATCTGGGTCAGCCTCGTTTTCAGAACTATCTAATTGTGACCTCAGTTGTTCCTGGAACCTACTTTTGGTTCTCTCGCTACTCAATTCAGTTCTAATGGGTCTTTTTACTGAGGCTTTTTTGCGTCCATTGAGGCGCAAGCAGATGCGTGCCCGTATCAGGGCGTGGTCGGAGTCCAGTCAGGTACTCCAGAATGAGCGACAATCTTCCACCGACCCTCTCCAACGATGACTGATGGCAATATGGTCTATTTGAGTCCATCGTTGGTCTGGTGTAGGGGGTCGCCATGTTAGACGATGTCTCTCCTTATGCTTAGAATTTGTTTGCTAAAAATAAACGATTGTCTGAGCACAGTTGCAGCAGACGATCACCATTATCTGTTCGTCGTGGCGGAATACTAAAATACCCACCTAAATGCCTTTCTGTTTGGCTTAAACTACCTATCTGGGCATTAAAGTCACCTGCTACGAGTACTATGTCCGAACGTTTAGCTTTCTGAAGAAGTTCAGATAGCTTTCTGTAAAATTCATCTTTCATTTCATCTGAGCTGCAGTCGGTGGGAACGTAGGCAGAAACGACAAAAAGGCAACGACGTGTGTCCCTATCCTTCCGTGTTTTTACGGAGCTGTTTAGCCGAACAGCACATAGACGACTGTTGACGGGGATCCACTCTAACAGTGCTTGTTCCGCCCTCATGCTTAGTGCTATCCCTACTCCTACCAGTCCACGAGAGCTGGCCATCGCGTCACCAGATACACGGAGGGTGTATCTCGTTGGCCCTCCGTGTTGCCGGGGTGAAGTCAAGTGAATGACCACACTGGGATCCTGTATGCGTGTTTCAGAGACACAGCATACATCAATGGTACGAGATTCTAGGGTTCTAGCCAAAGAAGCCTGTTGACCGTTTTGACATAGGGTGCGTACGTTGAAGGCTCCAATGTGTAGTTTGGAGCGAGATTTCAGTAGATCTGGGCCAGTGTTTTGAGCACTAGAATCGTTGGCTATGGTGACACTTGAGGGGGAAGCCGGAAAAGGAAGTTTAAAGGTGAAAGTCGATGTAGGAGGAATAATAGGAATTGAAGAGGGAAGTTGATTGTGAATACAGTGGTCTTGAGTGCTGTTAGAGGTATGAGGGTGGTTATCACTTCCTGGTTGCCCACACCGTGGAAGGGTTGTTCTGGAAGTACCTGAGAAGAAAATTGGATTAGAGGTGGTCTTACTGACCTGAGAGCATGACCGCAGTGCCCAAGGGACAACTGCTTGAGGTCGGTCACACACGACCTTTTTATGGGTAGTTTTTGTGTTAGCTCCGTACTTGTTGAGACCTTACCCCTGGAGATGGATATCCGTGGGATAAGGCGAGGTGTGCATTTTTAGGGTCGACCTTTTCTAACCCCACCCCTCCTTGTGGGAAGGCAGCATCGCTGCTATGCTGGTTGTCTGAAGGAAACACCTTACTGCTGTCATACCTTTGTACAGTCAGCAGTACGGCTTCGCCTTCGGACCTTGGGTTTGTTGCTTTTAGTCTTACCGCTCTTTAACCGACCTGTCTGACATGGTAGGACCTTGAGGAACGGTTGTTCCAGCCAGTATAGCTCGGTTGCTTCATCACGATAGGCAAACCCGACCACCACGTCAAGGTAGCAACAAAGGTCGGGTCCAGAATATCATAGAATTAATTCACCCTTTTTCGTTTGGGCAGTCGAGTACTATCACTAACCCTCGCATCTGATGTGGCTGAAGTCAAGCACATAAACTCGCACATAGTTAAAAAGTTCAGTATTCTATGTATCTATGAGTAAGCGATAAGTAAATTGAGGATGGTAGTATATTACAGATTTTTGCAGAATATTTCTGGGTAATTTTAAATACCGAAAGCTTTCATGTTGCACCCTGGCTATTGTCTTCCATTGTAATAAATGTAGGTTGTTTGTTTATTTCAGGGTAACTGACTGGTGGAACAACCGATCTTAGTAACACCCTATTCAAACTCTATAATTGGAAATATTTGTTAACTGTCAGCGTAAGACACCATTGAGGTTTGTGATAAATATGGCTTGTCTGAGAATGACATGTACTGACTAGGTGTTTATAATTGCATCAAGGTTAAAACCCAGTAAATTACATTGTTATAAAAGGTACATAGTCTCCGTTAATTTTTTGTAGGACAAACCTGAAAGACTGGATCCTGTGGGAAATATCCGTACATATTTTTATAATTATAAATAAAGTAAAATAATTCACTTCTTTACCTAAGACTTAGGTATGAGCCACACTCAATGTGGAATCAGTCAGTCAATCAGTCAGTAACAACACAGAACTTCGTATGTTCTTACATCAGTTCGAGTTGCCATACCATATTCTAAATGTGGAATCTAGTGACTGAAGGTTGAAAGCTTTCACAAACAAGCCACTGCCCCGTGAGAAACGAGCTCCTGAAAGTTTAGTAAATGTTATCTGCTGACATTGTAACTGGATAAATTAGGGGCGAACTCACGCTGCTCATTAAAGACTGGTTGCTCTAGTTTCATGTCCATTTAACTGTCATGAACTACTTTCTTAGTTAATGCAAAATAGAAAACTCTGTGCTTTGGGATGTTATCAGGCATAACTTAGAATGAGTTTGATTTAGTATTTACTACTTGTATGTATCACATTCTGTTTTACTTCTTTACAACTTTGTCATTTCGTTTTGCGTAAAGCATTTAGAGCCATTCTTACTTAGTTTCCATGGTAATAAAGGGAGCTTAGTGGTTTAGGCGTTAGACTTCCAACCACCATTTATTTGAGAGCCCCTCATTCACTACAAACAGTTTAAATTTACAACGAATTATGTGATTAGAAATAAATGATTAATATACTTCGGTCACATAAAAATTTTAAAACGAGACAGTACGCAAAAGATTAAGACCTAAAAGTGATATTTCCAAGTGGATTTGAGCTTAATGGTTAACCACACGTAAGAAGTCTATCCTTGAAAAGTAGAGTGCATAACCTGGCGGCTTGGTTAGGGTCATGATGTGGTTATCTCTAAGGTCTTTAAATTAATAAAAAAACAACATATCTACTTGGCTTTGAAGTGGCCTCTGGGATCAAGCATCTCTTGTCTAATCTGTGAATACAAGCAAAACCATGATTAGCTTCTATGTATTTGGTGTCTGTTATCATTAAAATTACTATTATTTCAAAACCTAGTTAACTTTACTAGTATGAAGTTTGGTAACTTTAGCCAGTGCAGTTTTTACTAGGCTCTACTTATGTTGGAGAGAACAAGAAGCCTTTTTTGGGGAATATTGCTCTAAAATTTCACGAAAATTATCAATCAACCATCTTATTTTGTTTCAGCTGATATATATATATATATATATATATATATATATATATATATATATATATATATATATATATATATATATATATATATATATATAATCGACCCACGATATATTTGTTTGAATTTTTCCTGATTCATGGGATTAGTGATTTCATTTAATAATCGAATTAAGTATTTAAAATATATTTTATTTATCTACTTTTTTTGTCAACTATATTTGACCTTTAAATATCGTTTACTGAACTAGTAGTTTTTAAAAATGTTAACCCTAGTTATCAACGTACAAGACGAAAAGCGAGTATGCGGCACCCTCAGAAGTATAGCTAATATATGTAAACTCGGAAGCCGCGCTGAATTGTTACCTTATGCGAGTGATCTTTTGGGTGCAGTACTTCAGTTGCCTGGAGATTCTTCTAAGGGGATTCTTCTATGTCGTCTTGAAACGAAAGTTTTACAACGAATTTGTTTGTTATTTTGCCCACCAATAAATACAACATGGCAGTACCAACGAGGATGTCGATCACTACAAGACAACTTAGAATCTCTTTTGATGAATCATGACAACAAAGATTCTTTAGTCTCTACAAAAGTTGCTGATCATTCGTTATACACAGGTTTTCAAAATAATATCTCAAGTGATATTTCTGGGGATTGTTCATTAACTATGAACTATGAATTGTCCAACACAGACGAAGTTGCAGAAGTTATTGATAAACTAATAAGCGCTTTACGCAGTCAATTTACTGGGGTTCGTTGGTCTGCTGCCAAAGGGTAGGAAGGATATTTATTTTTTACAGTATACTTGTATGAGTTCGTCCTCCTGTTTACTTTTAATTTAGTAGTTTAAAATGAAATGTCCCACTTCATTTTTCAGCACTTGTATTGTTATAACATAAATACATCTACTACTGGTGGTTTATGCAAGAGCATACTTTCCATAATATTAGAAATGTTTAGTTTCTTTAGGTATAACAGACTTGCCACTACCAATTTATTGCAAGGTGGTGGTAAACAAAATAAATCAAGAGAGTTTAAATGAAGAACAGATAAGTCAGTGATCAGAAACCATCATACATGTACATTATGAAACATTTAAAAGTACTCTACACTTAAACTCTTCCCAGTGTTGCCGAACTCTGATAATAAATACAGTTCTCGAATACAACTCAGTTCATGTAAGCTTGATATCACACGACATGCATGGCTTGGTGGTGTTACTCAGCTGCTTAGACGAAGATAGATGAAACTTGGTTTAAATCAAGAGCTTAATATTCATGATTCCAGTACCTTCAACACGGAGCCACTAAGTTTAACTAAGTATCCTAATATAATGACGTTGATAAACTATGAAGCCTAGTTTCATAGACTATGGCAAACTGTATTTTAGATAGATGTTAGTGTCGCATTGTTTTTCAAATAGGATTAAGTGTTTTATCATGTCACTGAATGTTGGTCACTTATAGGCACTAGCCATTTTTATATTAAATGCTAAAGTAACGATATCTGAATTTCGTTTCATCCCAGTGAATTATATTTACAGAATTGCATTCCATAAATTGTGGACAATCGATGTGCTTTTTTTCTTAGGATCGGACGTATTTGTTCTCGTCTTTCCAGTTCAATGGTAAATGATGTTCTATCGGCTGTATTGTCCTTGTGTACGAAACTCGAACCATATACCGCATGGCATGGAGCTTGTCTTGCTTTGGCTGAACTTGGCCGTCGCAGTCTTCTTTTACCATCTAAATTACCAGAAGTAAATCTTTTGTTTTAACAGCGGATTAATTCAATGATAGGGACATATTTTTACTGGTAGTGTGCGAATCGATGACAAATATTACCCGTACCCTGAAAACCTTATATTTCACAGCCACGGAATATTAAAACGCAACACAACCGATGACTGAAAAATTAATATTTTACAAAAACTATCAGTTTGTTCACATTTTCAAGCACCTTAGAATTACAATGAAAAAGTGTCTAAGTGGTTTCTTTTGATTAGTCTAAAAACGTAATAAACTTTTCAGTAGCGTAGAAGAATCAAAATATGGAGTAGAGAAAATTCTATTCCACCAATCTATGACATAAAAGTCTAGCTTCTTTTATGTCCTGTCTTGAAAGTTCTTGGAATTATTATTGCATTTCTGAAAATACGATGGTACTGGTCCAGTAAATTGTAAGACAATGAGCAGATATATCCTTTGGAAGAAGAACAGGTGGTGTTACTTTCACACCTCTGTAATGAGGCATATAATTAGACTGAAGGTTACTTCAATTTACTGCATGAAACTATATATATATATATATATATATTGCCCAGATAATGGTACCAAGTATAATTTTAGGAAATGTTATTGAGTAATTAATGACCAATAAATCTACTTACTGAAGTGATTTACGTATGAAAATTCAGTGTAGATCCAGTATCATATTCATATATTGAATTAAAATAGACTTATTATTTGCGAACTTGACTGTTTTAACTATCCTCTGATTACATATTGATTAAATAATAGGCTTTTCATTTCTAGGTAATCCCAGTAGTTTTACGAGCTCTGTTTTATGATGAGCGGTCTGGCGATCATAATTATGGATCAAATGTTCGAGATGCTGGATGTTATGTGTGTTGGGCATTCGCAAGGGCATATCATCCTAAGGATTTCGTGGATTATGTCGTTCCTATTGCAAGCTCTCTAGTCTTGGTTAGCCTATTCGACCGAGAGGTTAGTGTACGTCGAGCAGCGTCTGCTGCATTTCAAGAGAACGTGGGTAGACAGGTTAGTGCCACAATTTTTATTTTTGAATCAGCTAATCGTACTGTTTTTATTAATTAACACATAAAGTACTGTTGGAATTATTTCGTTAGGCTTTGATATCATTGTATCATATCGCAGAATTAACATGTATGATTACTATCAACGCTTACTTTTGTCAAAAGCAGTGGTAATATTAACACAACACAAACATTTCAGCCATTTAGAGCTCATTTAATTAGTGTATGTATGATATGGACGAATTAATTTAAACCATATATTGTTTTTTATCTCATGAGGAAAACTTGAAGTTAATATGCGTACATCCCACTTAATAAAGCTTAGACCCACTATCAGCTGGTCAAATCTAGGAAGGCAAAGTTGGATTGACATCAGCTGCCCATTTGTTGAAAGTCGTGTTAAAAGCTCTAAGCCACAATTCCACTGGTCTGTCTGTGAATATGTTCGCTAGTAGCTTGGTGGTTAAAGAGACTAAATTTTAGTCTCTAGATCGTAGTTTCGAGTCCCAGCCCACCTACTTCGGTTTGAACAATCGAGTAGTTTCACGAAACCCTAATATGTAAACTGTATATCAAAACTGAGTGCACAAATATGCACCTGGTCATCACAGTCGCTAATATTAATTTACTCAGTCACCTGTTATGTATACCTTAACCTAAAGTTTGAGTTTGCTTGTTTGTAAATTAACAAGTAAAATGCGTGAAGAAAATCGGACAGTGCAAACACCAAAGATTCAAAGTTCTGTTAAACCCCACCATTTACGTTGAATAAATTAATTAAATTGTCATGCTTATCGATAGGTGTGCAGCAATGATAATAACCAGTTTTCAAGTCAAGACGACCGGGAAGACGCCACTAAATCAGAATTTGTTCTCGTTGACTTTTCACGAAACGTTGGTATAAAAAATCCTACTGTTTGCAAAATGGAATGTCTTTGGTACTTAGGTTCTACTATCTACTCTTACTGATTGGATAATAATTATACGTCATCCTATATCCTCCGCCTCAAGGAATATGGTAACTACGGAGCAGCTGAAGATTTCAGTTGACGTTAGAAATAGACCCGAGGATGTATTATTTATTGGTTTAAGGATTCGACTTTCAACCAATAAATTTCAGATCTTAACGCATCCTTATCTACTTCCGTGTGTCCAGTCGGGTCCTATCACAAGGGAGACAATCGTAATCTTTTGTTGGTAATTGGTTCCATTGACACCAGTGTATTCATTTTTTTATTTTCTCGTAAATCTTACGCTTTGATGTCATTTCACGATTTCCTTCATTGTCTTCATTTGTATTTTTCAAGTTAGAGTTTCCATTATCTCGGCATTCTTTTTGTCTTGTTTACTATATTTTGATTGTACTTATGTACACTATGGGAATTCGGGTCGATGCACGTTCGTGCTAGATTTTACATTGTTTGTGATTGATGTAGATGTTTAATACACGATCTAAATCTATTTTGTTCCAAGAGCGAAATAAAATATATCATTTACTGATTTCAAGTTCTTCGACGACACTGATTTGGTTAGATATATTTAATATTTTGCTGACTAATTATTTTCACTTGTGTTACTGCAGATAGAAAAAGCTCTGTACCTGATGGTAAGCTTTCAAGAGCATCACCTTCTTAACAAAGAATTTCTACCATCAATTCCAAACGAATGTTGATATGATCATTCACTTGGTCCATATACACGTTATATAAGTTATATTAATATTTTCTAATCAACAGATACCCCAGTTGTTATGTTCGAATTTGTTCCTATTGTTAATTATTATTATACCATTATTATTTATATACATGTATATACATATATTCTTATCTACAAATAGGGTCATTTTCCACATGGAATTGAAGTCCTCACTACATGTGATTATTTCAGTGTGGGAAATCGTGCTCACTGTTACCTTCAGTTGAGGTTAGTTGAAAAAACAATCGTATTAAGATGGAGTGAATTTATTATATTCGTCTCTTTTGTTAGAGATTTCAAGTAATTTGAAAATATACTCAAGTGTTAAATGCATGTAACCTTCTGTGGGACTTTGTTTCATGTGATTTATTCATGTCTTTCAGATACTATGATAAATATGTACAAACCTATACTGAAAGACTAGTTCAGTGCATGGAGAAATAGGTTTTTATAGGAACTGAAAAAGACAATAACCAATCTGGAATCGCGGCCTTAACTCTATGTTAAAGAGCTTACTGTAAAGACTAAGTTACAAATTTTTGATAATGAGTGTATTGTTTATTTTCTTTAAGGAACATATATTCTAATGCAATAGGGCACCAGAAGAATGCGTCACCCAGACTAAATGATAATCTTATGAAGAAATAATAGACAACAAGTTAGTATGGTCATTTTATTGATGGGAAACAATAGTGTGTGGTTCGAGATACAGTTCATTTAAAAATACAACCAAGAGAGACTCCATTCACTCAAAGGAGGTCACCTCACTTGTATGAAGACTGTAATGGAAAACTACTGCAAAATCACCACTGTATTCTGTTTTAAGCTATGACTAGTTACATCTCAAACCACTGAGCATTTCGACCGGCGAGTATTAAAGGAATAACAGATATAAGTTACTTGCAGCAGCCTCTCATATCACAGCTTCATGTTATTAATTGACCACTTTTTCCACCCACTCTCGGCGTTGGCAAATAATGAGTGATATAGGAGTTTAAGGGATGACATTTGTAAAATATTACCTGGCTGCTGAAATCGGTTTCTCAAAAGTTAGTTATTATCGCGGCTACTGGATACATATTTCTAACGTGGTGTTTACCCCGGATATGGGAAATCTTTCGGAAACAACGATGATGGCACACGGTCGTTCGGACGTCGTCATCTTGGAGGAACTAAATTTTACTAAAGTAAGGCAAGATTGCCCTTACTGACACAACAATGATGTTTTGTAACCGGACTGACATCACAACTTGACTGAAAATGCCCCAGATTGACGTAAAGCAATGTGGATTTTCCTATATATCTTTTCTCCTACTCTACCACCAACACTGGTTTTGGTAATCGCGTAATATTGTTAACCACATAAAATGCGACTTAGAGTCTAGTACACAAAACTTTTTGGGAAATGATTTACCTCAGACGCTGATGGTTAAACGTTCATGAAAATAAAAAGGTAGCTAACTTGATAAGTTATTACATAGTTAGTACCCTTGTTCAACCTACACAATTTTTATTTCTACTGTTTTTGTACTAATGATTAAATATATTTCTTGAAATTATTATTCAGTGTGTCTGTAGCTAAATTTAAAGAATATGTAGAACCTATGATTGGTCATTTGGTGAATGTTCGTCTTGGACATTGGGATGATTCAATCAGATATCTGGCTGCTTGTGCTTTAGGCAAACTATACATAGCTGATCCTGATTACATGATGGAAGTTGGTGAGTTTTATCTTATCCTAGTAAATATTTCCTACAATCTTTTCTGCGTATAATTATGCTTATTTTGCCATTCTTTACATGCTGTAAATGTATTACCGTATTGACTAGTTCTTCGAGTGATTCAGACTTAATTATAATATTAAGGTTTAATTTAATTTCATCGTTAAATAGTATAGTTTATTCATCGGATTATTATAATCATGTATTTGTTTGGTCTCATATTGTAATAGTCAGTCAATAAGTTACACGTTTGACTGTGCTAGATTTTATAAAAGCCATATTTACTAGTATTATACGGGTGATAATTGAGTCCCGACCGAAGCTGCTACCTTGACGCTGTGGTCGGGCTTGCCTATGGTGATGACCCAACCGAGCTATATTGGCTGGAACATATGTTCCTGTAGGTTCTACCATGCCAGGCAGGTCGATTGGTGAACGGTAAGACTAAAAGCAGCAACTCAAGGTCTGAGGGCGAAGTCGTACTGCTGACTGTACAGAGGTGTGACGGTAGTAAGGTGTTTCCCTCGGACAACCAGCATGACAGCGATGCTGTCTCCCCACAAGGAGGGGTGGGGTTAGAAAAGGTCGACCCTAAAAATGTCACACCTCACCTTACCTCACGGATTTCCGTCTCCGGCGGTAAGGCCCCTTGAAGAACGGAGCTAACACGTCAAAAACCTTCCACAAAAAGGCCGTGCGCGACCGGCCTCAACTAGTTGTCCCTTGGGCTCTGCGGCCACGCTCCCAGGTCGTCAAGACCAACACTAATCCAATTTCCTTTTCAAGTTCCTCAAGAACTACCCTTCCACGGTGTGGGCAGCCGGGAAGTGACATCAGCCCTCATACCCGTAACAGCACACGACTGACTGATAATTGAGTACATTAACTATCACATCTCAATACTGTTTTAGTGCACTCGCTATTTCCCTTCGTCTGGGTTATTGTCTTTCATAATACTTTGAACTAGCAGTCGTTATTCTGAAATTACTTAATTGCTATTCAGTAGGATCAATAAGGTATGCTAGCTAATTTGTTTATAATGTGGCTTCTTGTGTTCTTATCAATGATGATTTGAATGGGAACTAGTATGACTGATTCCATACGCTTGGTTTCTTAATATCATTGTTTTATGTAGGAGGATTTCGTGATTTGATAAGTGATTGTTCGCTCATTATCATTGAGTAGAATACTGATCGATCGACGATATGGAGGATCCACCCTGGGGGAGTTGGAAGGCCCTGATTCCAAACCAATGGTGAACATGGGCTCCAGGATCCTAAAGGAACAAATGGTGTATAAACCAATTTTTGGTCACCGGCTACCATGGGACTGCATCTCCTGGCGTTGCCCCGCTGCCCTGTGGATCAGACCTTTAGGTCAAAGGCTACGGGTGTGGCCCCCTGAGAAAACCACCTGCTTCGGTCTGGGCACCCGGGTAGTATCATAGCCCACACACAAATCAAGTGACTTGTGTGGTGCATATGTATTCTGCACCCATTTGTTCCAATATTTGTGTTCAAATAAATAGTTAGATAAATAAATGATACAATATGGTTGAGTGGTGGTTGCTCTAGGGACCGAATTATCGACTGATACCCCCTAAATGTTTTGGAAATATAGACAATATCATTAGTCAGAAGAATAGGTCTTTTTGTTTAATAATATGACATGCTTATACACAAAATAGGAACATGAAATAAAGATAATAAATTGTTATGGGGTATTAGAAGGAGCTTAACTTGTATATCATTCACTCTCCAATCAATCAAGACCTGTTTGTCAGGCCCATTTATTACACATCGTATAAGACTAACAACGTTTAGTAAAACCCACCAGTATATTTATAGGCGAAAACTAAAAATGATTGTATGGTACGGTCTTTCTTTATAATGTATTCATTGAGACAAATTACTTGTAACTATCACCTCAAGTCTAGTATGCTTCCTACTTATGAAGTAAAAAGCTATAGTTACACCTAAAAAGTTACGAGGATTAGTCATTACATAGGGTTAGAGTGAAGGCTACGTATTTTGTTTCGTATTCAACTGATACGTTATGTTTCCTTTTATGGGATCCTGAAAATTATTCAACTAAGCTACTTCAGGTGTTATCAGACATAACTACAACTGTGAAAACAGTCAGTAATCTAAATTTTAAGTTGTCTTTTCTTACCCTTATTAATTAATAAGAAGTATTCATTTGCTTTTAAGTCTTGCCTCAGATCATCAATGGTTCAATTAAATCTACTCTACACAATCAACAAGGGTGTATATTTGGAACAGGTGAATTGTTATGTGCATCATCCAGGTTAGTGGTTTACTGATTGTACTATTTATATGTGCTATTGTGTGACCGTTTATTTGTAACATTTGTTATTATATATGTTGATCAATCGTTGTTAAATCAGTGAAACCGAGGAAAATAGTACTGGTTTAGGTTCACTGAATTATTTTATGCTATATGCATATGTATACGCCAGTCTATCATTGTTTAATTTACGTTAGTCATTTTCTGAATAACATTCAAATAAGATAAACTTTGGTCGCTTCATTAAATTTTACTTGACAGTGTTTGTCGACAGAATATTCTTTGTAATATTTAATCTTTAATCAAAGTTTTCTAAATGTAATTCGTCGATGCAGAGTTTTCCAACTTACGAAACTACATTTTTGTAAGAAATCGATGTTTATATTTATGTCCAATATATGTGGTGACAATTACAAGTTGGAGATTTAACTGTATGCAGAGGGGAAGGATTCTAGGCATAATGCAGAGACAATTACAATATGTAGTTTAACAAATGAAGACAATATTCTTGTGACTATAAATTATAAGTTTGATTTTTTTTATTGACTATTCTCTGTTACACAATGAAATCAAAACCAAGTTTAGATTAGTCCTGGAGAATGTTGTCACTGATGATAAAATAATCAACAATTATATCAGTATACATTAAAGAGGACGAATGTATTTGTAAAATCTCAGTGAATGAATTTGAAGTTAACCCAACGTTTCGCCTGGCAACCTTGTCCAAGCTTTTTCAAGGAAATATAATCAAACATCAAAATTATCGAATATAAATAGGTATATGGTTCTCCGGTTCACTGTATACTGAATAGGCCATCTACTCAACGTTAACAATGTTTGAAGTATGTATTTGCATTAGTGTGTAAGCGACATGTAGTGTGAAACAAAAAGTGTTAAGACAACAGATTGTGTGTATACGCAAGTGGTGTGAGAAGCAATTTCTCTGGTTGGTGGATTTTAAGAAAACATATAAGTTTATATATGATATAAATAAAAAATTCACTGACCAGAGAAATTGCTTCTCACACCACTTGCGTATACACACAATCTGTTGTCTTAACACTTTTTGTTTCACACTACATGTCGCTTACACACTAATGCAAATACATACTTCAAACATTGTTAACGTTGAGTAGATGGCCTATTCAGTATACAGTGAACCGGAGAACCATATACCTATTTATATTCGATAATTTTGATGTTTGATTATATTTCCTTGAAAAAGCTTGGACAAGGTTGCCAGGCGAAACGTTGGGTTAACTTCAAATTCATTCACTGAGATTTTACAAATACATTCTTGCTCTTTAATGTCTAACATTAACTCGGCTCCCAAATACTGTGAAACTATTCGATCAAATTTAGACGAAAGTTTTTGTATATCAGTATACATGCTAAAAATCCAACTGATAAATATTGAGGATTTATCAGAATAGTTTATTGTACAGTGTAGCGGCATTTTGAGTTGTCAGTTCCAACGTTTTAGTCTTCTTTTCTGTCACTGAGTAATAAGATAATTACTGATTGATCATTTATATCCCGTTCCGTCTAGAAGATTTTTATTTTGAATGTTACACTTAATAAATAACTTAAAGGTTGAATTACAGTTACATAATCATTGGTGATTATCTTATTTATAGGTTGTGAAGCAATAAACCAATTTGTAACAATACACCAATCTGTTGTATGTAACCCCAAATATATATATCTTCAAATAGACTGATTTTTTTACGTAAAACAATTACTATAATCACACCAACAAATTCATCTGGATTGAAATTAAATGAGAAACAGTATTCTTGAATTTAATTATTATTTTTACATATCATATCCTACTGTTATTATTTCTTTTATTTTTTCAGTTATGTTATAAATGAGGAAAATCTACTCAAGATTAAGGAAATTGTTCCAGCAGTAAGTTGAATTTCCATTCTCAATGATGCTTATTACATATTGTTTTGCATTTTTATGTGAATCTTTTGGACATAAAGATATATCCTGAATGTAAGGTGGCTAAATACTGGTAGTGTTAGTAACAATGCTAGTAATAACTATAATGGCAATGATAATAATATTAATGATATTGTTGGGAAGGCTCCCAAAAAGTACGACGAAGTCTCCAGGGGCTCTAAAGGAGCCGAAGAGATTCTATTCAATCAGAATCTGACAGAACCTTCTAGAACATCAAAGTGACATTCCATGATTAGACAATTGTATAACTTTCCTACTTGCAGATAGGCTGAGTTATAATGATTTTATAGTTTATACTAAAACTGTTAATACCCCTGTTCTTCTGTACATTTTTGAATTCTACTTGATAATCGCTTCCCTTTCTTCTTCGCTCGTTTGATTTGTGACTGTAGGGGTTCTATACGTCCGAGTGCTGATAGTTGTATACCGTATTCTTACCGTAATCGGGTAGAGGGCGTAACAAATACTAATAATAGTGCTAATAGTAATGATGGCAATAATAATAGTAACAAATGGTCATACTTTTAGTCAGGTTTTACTTTTTATTATTCTTGTTACTGATTGTGTGTAACCCCAAGATTGTGTCTTTTAAATTCGAGAGTAAAACTTCGAAACACTCATGATAACAGGAGAAAGGAATTGAGGACAAAGAAAACCGAGATTGTTAGATGACTTTAAGGGCTTACAGCTTATGTAGAGCACCAATTAACAGGTGATCACCGATTTTGATTCCCCAAGTGTGTCACGATCTTCGTTATTTTCAATCATTGTTCACCGAACCTCAAAATCATTCGTGTGGTTTTAAAATGGAATAGGACAATCACTATAGATCTAGGAATGATTAAGTACATAACTTGTGAGACATCATAAGCTCATAGAAATCGCTTCATAGAAGTACTTGGATTTCTGTTATCCGAATAATATCGTAGCAAGTGATGAAAATCAGTATCAAAAGGACATTAACTGTAAGCTGTTGCACTCTATTCAAGTTATCAGCTACACAGTTTGGGGGAAATGTAGTATGCTGATCAGCCATCTCTAAAAATAGAGGTGAATGTGAAATAAACACTTTTAAAAGGGATTCATCCGGAATAGTGTGGAGTTGCAAATTAAGTTACTTTTGTGATTAATACCTGGGTATAATTCTATTTGCGAAGGTTTGTATTATCCTAAATTGGAAGAAAAACACTTCTTCAATGATTGAAAAGATTCGCTCAGTGCTTCTTTTGTCACGAAATTTTTGATAATCATCTTATAGCGCAACATAATGGGAGTTGAGTCAGGAGATTGTTTGACGAAATTCTGTTTAAGTTTGTCTGATGTAAATTTGTGTTATTAACAACAGGTCGATTACTGGGATTCGATCAGTGTCTTCAAAGCATTACCTGTGAATATTGGGACCACTTAGTGAGCAATCATGAAGTTCAATGTAGGGTGTTGGACAAGTATAGTAAATTGGTTGATAAGTTTGTTGGTCCTTATCGATTGAAGTGGTTGGGCTATGTGTTACGTATGCCTGAATTGATGGATAGAAGTAATTTTAAAAAAAGGTTACTTACTTACGCCTGTTACTCCCAATGGAGCATAGACCGCCGACCAGCATTCTCCAACCTACTCTGTCATGGGCCTTCCTTTCTAGTTCTATTCAATCGCTGTTCATTCTTCGCATGTCTGTCTCCATTTCTCGACGTAGTGTGTTCTTTGACCCTGAGTATTGCAAGTGAGGGCTTTTCTTGTGACACAGTTGGTTGCTTTCCTCAACATGTGTCCTATCCACTTCCAGCGCTTCTTCCTAATTTCTTCTTCTGCTGGGATCTGGTTTGTTCTCTCCCACAGTAGGTTGTTGCTGATAGTGTCTGGCCGACAGATCCGAGGTATTTTGCGTAGGCAACTGTTAATAAACACTTGTATCTTCTGGATGATGGCTTTCGTAGTTCTCCAGGTTTCCTCCCCATACAGTTGAACTGTGTTGACATTTGCATTGAAAATTCTGATCTTCGTGTTGGTTGACAGTTGTTTTGAGTTCCAGATGTTCTTCATTTATAAATATGCTGGTCTTGCTTTGCTGATCCGCGCCTTCACGTCTGCATCAGATCCACCGTGTTCATCAATGATTCTGCTCAGATATGTGAAGGTTTTTACATCTTCCAAATCGTCTCCGTCAAGTGTGATTGGATTGTTGCATGTTGTGTTGTATCGGAGAATCTTGCTTTTCCCTTTGTGCATGTTGAGACTTACTACTGCTGAGGCTGCTGCTACACTGGTCGTCTTCTCCTTCATTTGTTGTTGTGTGTGCGACAGAAGAGCCAGATCATCTGCGAAGTCTAGATCGTCCAGCTGCATTCTAGCTGTCCACTGTGTATCATGCTTCTCCTCAGATGTTGACGTCTTCATGATCCATTTGATCACTAGGATAAAGAAAGGTGAGAGTAAGCAACCTTGCCTGACACTGATCTTTACCTTGAACGAATCTGTCAGTTGTCCTCCATGCACGATTTTGCTGTTTAATCCACCACAGGAATTCCGTATGATATTGACTATTTTATGGGGCACGCCGTAGTGTCGAAGAAGCTTCCATAGTGTTGTCCTATCCACGCTGTCGAATGCTCTCTCGTAGTCAATGAACCTGATGTAGAGTGATGAATTTCATTCAATTGATTGTTCCACAATGATCCGCAGTGTTTCGATTTGGTCTGTACATGATCGATCCTTACGGAATCCTGCCTGTTTATTTTGAAATTGAGCGTCTACGGTGTCCTTCATTCTGTTCAACAGTACCCTGTTGAAGACTTTCCCTGGTATTGAGAGAAGAGTGATGCCCCTGTAGTTATCATATTTGCTGAAATTGCCTTTCTTTGGTATCTTGATCAGGTGTCCTTCTTTTCAGTCTGCTGGTACTTGTTCTTCATCCCAAATCTTGCTGAATAGAATTCGGAATATTCTTTCAGTCACCGCTACGTCTGCTTTCAGTGCCTCTGCTGGAATGTTGTCTGGTCCTGCTGCTTTGCCACTCTTGATTTGTCTGATGGCCATGCTGATTTCTTCAATTGTTGGTGGGCCAACATTGATTGGGAGGTCCGTGGGTGCTGCTTCGGTGTTGGATGCGTTCAGTAGGGCTGGTCGATTCTACCCACCTGTTTCGTTGTTCTTCAATATTTGCGATTACCTTGCCTTCCTTGCTTTTCACTGGTCGTTCTAGTTTACGGTGATTTGCAGAGAGTTTCTTTATGTCATACAGTTCTTATGTTTCCTCTTTCAGCCTTTTCTTCCGTCATCGCTAAATCTTCCACATATTTACGTTTGTCGGTTCTAATGCTCCTCTTCACTTGTTTGTTTACTTCTCTGTATTCAGCTTGTGCCTTGGATTTTTCTGCTCTTGTTCGGTTGGTATTGATTGCTTCTTTCTTGTTCCTCCTTTCTCGAATCTTATCCAGTGTATCAACAATGGTTCATTCCTTGTGGTGGTGCTCCTTGTGGCCCGGAACCTCATGACATGTTGAAGTGATTGCCTCTTTTATCACTTTCCAGTTGCTCTCCATTGAGTAGATCATGAAAGGGCTGGAACCTATTGCTGAGGGTTATCCTGAATTTGTTTAGTTTGTCAGTATCCCGAAGAAAAGCCGTATTAAACTTTTGTGATGTTGTCCGCCCTGTTGTCCAGTGCATCTTGCGTTTCAGTCTCATCTTGGCGACCAGCAAGTGTTGATCTGATGCTATATCAACTTCACTCTTGGTTTTCACGTCCTCCATCGTCCTCCTGGACTTCTATGGTCGATATGGTTCTGTGTAGTGTGGTCCGGTGAAATCCACGTGGCTTTGTACATGCGTTTATGTGGGAATATAGTGCCGCCTATGACCAGTTTGTTGAAGGCACATAGGTTTGAAAATCTCCCACCATTTTCGTTTCTTTCTCCCAGTCTATGTCGTCCCATTGTGGTGTGTGCTACTTATATTGACATAAGTAGTCTATGTTGTTAGTCGTGAACGGAAGGTCTGGCAGCAGAGAGACAAGAGGATCGAACAGTAAAGAATGAAAACAGGATGCAATTTGTATGATGATGCAAGAACAATGAAGTCATTTTGAGACAATTGGTGGACATTTTGCAAATTAAGCATTTACTTTATGATTGCTAGATTTTATTAACAAGTCCTGTAATTTTGTGTTAGATATATATATATATATATATATATATATATATATATATATATATATATATATATATATATATATATATATATTGTTCACCACACTATAATGTCTTCATATCCGGTGCTGTTCATTCCAACCTTGGCATTTAGGTCTCCCATGAGAATGGTCAAGTCCTCTGTTGGGCGCTTCTCGATGATTGACTGCAGCCTATCGTAGAATTGATCTTTAGCGTCTTCATTGTGGTTGTTGGTAGGCGCATAGCATTGGATGACGTTCATTGTAATGTCCTCGTTCTTTGTTTTGAATGAGGCTTTGATGATCCTTGGTCCATGAGATTCCCATCCTATAAGTACATTTTGTGCTTGTTTGGACAGCATCAATGCAATTCCTTGTGTATGTGGGGCATTTTCTTCATCATGGCCGGAGTATAACAGATGCTCCCCCGAAGCTAGTCGTTGTTGTCCAACTTGCATCCAATGTGTTTCACTGATCCCAAGCACCTCTAGGTTGTATCTTCTCATTTCTGCAGCAATTTGGAAGACTCTCCCGGTCTCCCACATTGTACGACTATTCCATGTACCTAAATAAATGGTTGGTCTGGTTGTCAGAAGGGGCATCGACCTCGTGACTTCCGAAGAAACTCGACTTTCATCATGAGGCGTCATAGTTCTTGTAAATGAAAACCTTCTGACTCCCAGGGCAGAGTTTAGAAGGTTCGAATAATTTTTTTTGGTAGGCATTGTTTTAGTGAGTTAGTTTTCTACGGGATGGGGTCGCTAACCTCATGACCAACCCTCCTCCTTTATCCGGGCTTGGGACCAGCATTAGCCTCAGGGGAGCTCCAGATTTGGTTAGGAGCAGCCAAAGCAAAAGCATGTCATCAGTCCTCGAAGCCATTATCTGTTATTCCGAACCATGTTGGTTGAAAGTATACGCAATTATCGTGACCATCGGTGAGCAGCGTCGAATGACAGGGCTAATAATCGATCACAATCGCACATATTAATGTACTCTTCGTCTGTCCTTAGATCCTGAATTGCAAGACTAATTTTTTACTTTTTTATTTCGCGAACTTGTTTTTTTCTCGGATAGTATTCTGTATATCCAGTATTTTACTACCACTGATATGTAATTGGTTGGTAATAGTGTCTGTTAATAGGAAACCCATTTAGCTGATGAACTTAATGCAAATGTTTCCACTGATCCTGTTTGTAATACCGAAATTCTGTTACTGCTTTTTTAAAGGCTGTTTAGAGCTTTGCTGGACATTAGCGTACGCATCCTCTATTGTCTCTCCGTTCAACTCGATTATTTTGTCGTAAACTGAAATTTGGTTACGAAAAAAACTTCTGTCAAGGTTGTATCATAATGATAGCTATGGTTTTCAGTGATGCAGTTTTGTTTAGATAATTGTGTGATGAATGAGTAGCGCCCTCAGTTGACCATTTCTTAATATATTGTTTTTGAAAGCAAAAATGAATCTCTCACAACTTTTCTTCACGTAATACATTCTCCAGATTAGTATGGATATTTATTTCATGCGTTATGCGTTCAATTTGTTCATCATTTGTGTGTTTAGTTACTAATGAAAGAAGCTTTATCACTTTTATCGTTTTCTTTTACTCAGCTTAAAAGAGCGAACAAATTTCGTGGTCTAAGTGGTGAATTAATTCGAAAAGCAACTGCTCATTTTATTCAGAAGTGTGCAATGGCCAGATTACCGTTTCATGATGATCCAATTATTGGTGAGTTTTTCCTATACTTATTATAACTTTTTTTCGATTTGGTTCGGAATTTTGACATTCGACATACTTAAAAGTCTCCAAGACTAACATCGCTCGGTCATAATTATCATATTTTGTTTGGCGACTACATTTAAGATAGATTACCATAAATTCTTATAGGCGACAATAAAATATAGAGTCAGCAATTCGGAAGTGAATCAGTATCTTATCGATTATATTATAGGAGTATCATGTCAAATGAAAAATGGGCCGAATCGGAAAGTACGGTACATTGAATTCCGGTATTTTGGTTGTCGCGAGACCGTATGTTTCTGTGCTTGATACCATATGGTATCTTGTGTGAGCATATCTAAGAAATTCCAAACTTCATTGAAATCGCTGTACTGTATTCCCTGGTTTTCACTGTCCTCTGAATATCTTCAGTTCAAAATAAAAACTACTTAGAAGATATAGAACATTATCCATATCATCATAGTGAATTACACATCTCTGTTTACAGTCAAGTTAATTTTATTTCATTCTTTACTGAGACGTACTTGGTAGGATTGGAAACTCAACAGTTCAAACGTTCAACCCCCAACTTATTTCATAGGTCTAAACTCCACCTTACCTACTTGGGTTTGAGAAGCTGGGCAGTACCTCTAACCATCACACGAATAGTATTGTACATGGCCGAGTGCATAAACGCGTATTTTCTAGGAGAGTTATAATAAAACACTTCAAATATATTTGAAGTTTATTATTACGGGACGTATAGCGCGTACGTTTGTATTTACTGGATCCAGTTATTTTACTAGTACGTACTCGCATATTATTCGTTTAACTAGTAAGAAGATGTTATTGATTGATCGTATGTTGCCAATTTTACTAGCATGTATAGATGATCATGCACCACCTTATCCTTAATATACTTTCCAAATACTGTGCAAGATATCTATCAAATGCGAAATCCAGCACATTGGGTGTATATCTATTAAATTTATTATTTTATTTCTTTGTCATATTATTTTTGTACCGTCAGAAGTTTGGCGTGAATTCTTGGATGATTGTGTCGGACATAAAAATCCTGAAGTACAGGTAAAGATTAATAAATGTTACTATGAAAAAAGTTTGCTATGATATTAAGTTATTTAATGCTTAATTATTCTTAAACATAATATTTTCTTTTACTTTGTAACCATGTTTCTTTGTCTTTTTTCTGGTGGGAGGGGGAGGGGTGGGCATTTTATTTTAACTATTTAGTTTTAATAAAAGGAACCTTCAAATTTACCGGTAAAATTTCTACAGTTTGTGACAATTAAGCTTTTCTTATTGATCATATTGATAGAAACAAATGGTTATTGATAAAAAAAGTTATCTTAATAGCTAATTGAAAAAAGTACAATTTTTCGTTTAATAATTTTAATTTATCTTCTCTCAACTATTTATTTTAATATTTGTAATCTGAAGTTCGAATCAGTCTTAATTATTATCCAATTTTTAGGTTGGTTTTGTTCTAACAGGTGAAAATGTTTCTCATTGATTGGAAATAGATTAAGGCTATTAGAAACTACATTATATGTATTATACCATTATAATATAGTGAAATTGTAGAGGAATATAAAAATCAAATTGTAGCTAGTCTTGTCCAAATAACTAATCGAGTGCTTATATCAATTTAATAGTGATGTGTTGTTTAAATTCTTACTGTACTTGTTCCTCTGAATGCCTTCAATATAGCTAAATGATGAAGCTTTATCACTAACAACTGGGGATGTGATTATCTGAATTTTACTTGTTAAGTTTTCCTTTTTAATAGCTAAATTCATGAGTCGATGTAAGCTAGACCACCATTAAAGACCTAGAAGCACTAGACGGTCGTATCGTCTTAGCATGGGACTCCTCAGCAGTGCACATCCACGATCCCACATGCAGGACGCGAATCAGGGACCATCGGTCTCTCCCGCAAGCCCCATAACCTGTAGACCACTGAGCTGTCATCCAATAATGTTAATGTCTAACTTCAATCGATTCACGATCTTGCGCAACCATTCATCTATTCTCCGAGGTAGATACCTGTCTCTACCAGACATGGATTGGTCACAGCCTCTCGACTCATAAATTCAACTAATAAAAATTACTACAATCTCCACAAACCTCCGTTCTGATCAGAAATTTCATTTTGTTAGTTTTTGATTTAGAACAACATATATAAGTGAACAATCTTGTTTCCAATTAGATCCTTATCAGGCTTTACTCTAATGTACATTCATATTTATATGCATTTATGAAATTATTAAATTAATCAAGACCGTTTATGAGTCAGTGATAACAGCGGATAAATTATATAGACAAATATAAGAAGTAAAAGGTGCAAATTGATAGTGTGATGACAAATGTACTAGTTGTGATAACAAACGCTCAAATAAATGTTTCATAATGGCAAATAGGTCACTGACTTGGAAAAATATAGATGCCGAAATAACATCCATAAAACTATAAGATTGCGTATTAAGAGGTGCTCAGATAATTGGATAAAGAAAGGTGGGAGTGAAAAAAATAGACGAACAAAGGGTATGGAAAATCATGATGAATATATTCTCTTATTAATTCGGTCAAGGAAGAGATAAATGTGTTACAATTTTCCTATGAATACAAAGACTTGTATTGTTAGCTCGAATTCTTATACCTTCTGGTGTGTGTAAGAGACGAGATCGAACCACATACGGTAAACTAATAGGAATACGATTAATCACTTTAAATGACCTATTTCTGTCTACTACACGACTGCTATCGATCAAGTGTAATAGAACAGAACTGTGTATTGTTTTGACGATACCCCTTCCTATTCACGAATGGAGGTGCTTAACAACTTGTTCACTCAGTTATCTGGTCGTACACCCAATATAGCTTTCTCCACGGGAGCAGCTGGTTTCGTAGATACACATAGATTTGGCAAAACTAGGTAGTGTATCCTTTAGTTGAGGAATCACCACAGGTTGGGTCGAAAATGATAGACAATAGTTAGTTCTGTTCATTTCTCTAATCAGTCTCCAGTAGCGCATCACATCAGTTTTCGATTTTGTCATTATCAGTTTACCTCGTTAAGTGTATAACTTTAACATCTCAACAGTTTCAATAAAATTTGAACATGATTAGCAAACTGAACTTACAGATGGCTTTCTATTCTCTGAAGAAATAATCTATATTTTGTTATATTGTGTGTTGTCACATGATGGGCTTAACTGTTATAAGTAAACCTAACTTTGTAACTGAAGTGTTTTTTCTCAATAAGTAAATTGTATCTTCATTTTCAGAAAGCTACTGTGAATGCATATCCTCACTTTTTATCAACTTATTTGTACAACCGAAATGGTGAACTGAAATTAGGCTATAAAGGTATTTTAACAAATTTTGTAAAATAAATTGTACATTAATCTGCCTGTTAATAACCTTTCAATAGTGTGTACCAATTTTTGTTTGGCCAACTGCCTTTATCTAAATATGGTATTTTTACTGGGACATTTGTTCTCTATCTATCAGCATTCACCATTGACTTTGATACATACTCTCCGATCTGTTGAAACTACTCTCGAGGTATAGATAATATTTTGTACATGACAACTTGTCACAAAAACAAATGAAGACACTACCATGCCCAGTCGCGAATACACTCATCTTCGTGCTTTGTTTACAGGTTAACAATGTTTGTTAGATGGTGATAAACTTGTGGATGGAACACAAACTACTGATGTATCTGTGTACCGTCCATCCATAGATGAGGAGTATTTTTAGGTCTATGAGCCAAACTCTGTAGATAATCTTCATTTAAGCACACACATACTCTAAATTTGTGGATAGTATCCTTTCAATCGGCTAGACATTTATTATACTGCTGAGATTGTTGTTACCATTGGTAAACCCCTAATATTGGTTGTAAAGTTCATCCTGTTTACTACAAATAGGATTCAGATGGACTGACCAAATGTCATTTATCACTTATAAATAGTTTTTGGTAAGATTTATTATAGTAGTGCTCCATTAAATTATATTTTTCTCTTGGTTTTACTTCGTGCGTTAACTCTCACAATTTGTTCAGGATCATTCATCGGATCATACTTATTTGGTATCAGAATATCTTACTTGAAGTAAGTAAAATCAAGTTCAAACTCAACCCTACATTTTTTTAGGTGGATATGTGGAATATCGAATTCCAAGTTCAATAAAGTACTATTAGAAACTCAAAATATATTTAGTTTTGTCAATAATTCGTCTTTGAGTTCACTGTATAGTTACTTGAATAATAGATTCAACCCAACTTAAAAGTATCATTTTTATTTACTTCGTTCAATCTGTTTGCTAAACCTTATTTCTTGTCGAGTACGTAGATGTTATTTTTGAGTTATATATTAATGATATCGATAGGTAAATCAAGTTACTAAGCATTGTATTTTAGTTAAACTCATAACTTGTAAATTGTTTTCATTTTCAGATTTATTGTACAGGAATTTTTTACTTCATTTAAATACTAATTCTGAATCGGAACTTTCCGGTTATTTACAAATTATTGGTGCAGCTCCGAGTAGTTTGTATTGTGGACATGTTGCTGATTTACTGGATACTGTCACTAGTGCTTGTAAATCGACTTCAAAGACAAAATTCTGGGTTGATTCTCGCGGATCCGCATTAAAAGCTCTTGTTCAGTAAGTTTGAGAAGAGACTCCTAATTATTTATTGTTTGGTATTAGATTACAAAATTTTAAGAATTGTATGATTGTTGTCTATATGAGGAAAATTTTGTTGCCAACATTATGTGATAGTGTTAGTTTAAGTGTTCTAAGAAACTATTCATCTCATAAGTTAATATCCTAAGATATATATATATATATATCCTTAGGGAATCCAACCTGTTGATCTCGAATCTGGATGTCTACTGAATATTTCATCTGGTTCAGCAACACTCTATTGTACCGATTGTAGTGTGATACCTCTGTAGTCCTCGCACTTACTCAGATCTCCTTTGTTTGGTGTCTTGATAAAGTATTATTCTTCTAAGTCTATCAGTGGGACTTGTTTTTCCCCTAAATCTTCGTGAATAGAACATTGCGCATGTTTGCAGTTACTTCTTTGTCTGACTTCAATGCTTCAGGTCCTGCTGCTTTCCCACTCTTAATTTGTCTGAATGCCGTGCTGATTTCTTCGATCATTGGTGGAGTGACAGCTATAATAATGTCTGTGTGCGCTGCCTCGATGTCTGGTGGGTTTAGTGAACCTGGTCTGTTTAATAGTTCCCCGAAGTGTTCTACCCACCTGTTCCTCTGTCCTTGAATCTCAGTGATTGGTGTGCCTTCATTATCCTTGACCGGTCTTTCTGGTTTATTGTATTTCCCTACCAGTTTATTTGCTATGTCGGAAAAACGTGAAAAAACAAGCAACGACAGTGGAAAAAGTTGCAACAGAAGGAAATAATGCTGCTCTTCACTTGCTTATTTGCTTCTGTGCATTTGATCTGTGCCTTGAATTTCTGTGTTCTTGTTCGGCTGTTGTTAATTTCTGTTTTCTTGTTCTTCCTTTCTTGAATCTTGTCCAGTTTTTCAATAGACTTCCATTCCTTATGATGCTTTTTTCGACTCAGCACTTTCTGAGACGTTGAAGTTAGTGCTCCTTCTATCCCTTTCCAATGGTTTTCCACAGTAACTTCCTCTTCCTTGAATAGATCCTGTACGGCTTGGAAGCTGTTGCTGAGAGTTATCTTGAATTGGTCGACTTTTTCAATATGTCGCAGATATTAAACCGTTGTAACACTCTTTCTCCAGTTGTCTAGTGTTTCTTTAGCTTCAGTTTCATCTTGGCAACCGCCGGGTGGTGATCTGAAGCTATGTCAAATTCTTTCCTGGTTCTCACCTCTTGCGTTGACCTTCTGAATTTTTGAGTGGTGCAAATGTGGTCGATTCGGTTCTCTGTAGCGTGATTCTGTGAGACGCATGTAGCTTGTTTATGTCTTTGGTGTGGGAATATAATGCCACATATAACTTTCGTTGTGGGCACATAAATTTGTAAATCCGTCACCATTCACCCAGTCCATGTCGTCCCATGATCTCTTCATACTCGGTGTCGTCGATTCTGACTTTGGCATCTAGGTCTCCTATCAGGATTGTCAGGTTCCTTCTTGGGCACCTTGCTATGATTGAATGCAGCCTCTCGTAGAACTGATCTTTATCGTCGTTATTGCTATCGTTGGTGGGTGCGTAAGATTGGATAACGTCTATCGCAATTCCCTCCTTCTTTGTTTTGAATAATGCTTTAATGATCCTGGGTCTGTGAGATTACATTCCTATAACTGCATTTCGTGCTTCGTGTTTCTTTTGGCAAAGCATTTTCTTCCTCATGACTAGATTACAATAATATCTCTTCTGAATCTAATTTTTTGTGCCCATCTTGGATCCTATGTGTTTTGCTGATTCCGAGCACCCCGAACTTGTATTTTCTGATTTCTTCAGCTACTTAAATGGTCCTCCCGGTCTCGTAAATTGTCTGGGCATTCTATGTACCTATATTAATTGTTACTCTGGTTGTTAAAAGAGACATCGGCCTCCTGATCTTGGCTTTCACTATGAGGCATTCTTCTAAATGGCGATATTTGAACTCGGAGGGCAGAGCTTAGATGGTGTAAATAGTTTTTTGTGGCTAGCATTTTTGTTTAGCAAGTTTGTTTTCTATGGAATTGTGTTGTTGACACTATGCCCAACCCTCTTTTATCAGGACTCAGGACTGTTGGTGACCCTTGAAAAGCTAAAGTTGGAGTTAATTTTATTGACGTATATTATTGTTATTTTCATGTGATAACGGGCTAATTGTGCTAAACATTTGGTCAAATATAATTTTGCACTTGATTCTATTTTTCATACTCTAGGATCATAAAAAATCTTGGGGCTCATCACTCGGAATTAAATGTTACCATTTTGAAATCTACTTGTTATATTTTACTCCAATCTATATCCGATTATACAATGGATTCACGTGGGGATGTAGGTTCTCTGTAAGTGATTAAATTGTTCGTATATTCTATAACACTTTCATCATGCGTCCACTAACACTGAGTTTAATTTACACAAAATAACTTTTGGTGCATAAATCAGTTGGGTTTATGTAACGCATATTGTTCAAGTTCATTGTTGATGTTTCAACAAATGATTTACTCCATACATTCTTAGCACTTATTAGTATTTACCTTTTACTCGCTTTTGATGGATACAAAAGGTGTGCTGTATGCTACAGATGTAAGTAGTATGTATCATGAATCGAAAGTGAAATGCCTGGCGGCAGAATGTTATGAATATCGGAGGAAAGAGAAGGAGAACAGAGAATGATTGCTGTGGAAGCTAAGTAACAATGAAGTCTGAGATGATTAATTGACAGCTTGGAAATGATGTATTTTGCTAAGACGTTCTGTAATTTCGTGTTCAAACACAGTCGATTGTCCTCACTTATGTCCTCGTTAACTACAAAGGTATTGTGAAGAAATTAACCGCATGTACATTTTGATTTGATGCTTTCGCACTTCATATGACTGCCCATACAGTGATTACCAATACAGAATAGAATAAACAAAATCTGCTGAAATAATAGTGACATTAGTATTAGTAAACAAGCGATTAGTCATTTGCTCCGTAAAAATTACTAAAAAAATCAACGGATGAAAGGTATTAGGAATAACACAATATTTGAATTATAGGGATCGATAAACATTAATGAATCCATTTGCTCCATGACAAATAGCTTTTAGTTTTATTACCCTTAGTTTTCGTTAGTCAAGTATGGTTATCAATTTTGCATGCCTTATTTGAAAGTTTCTGTCCCCCCCTCACTCTCTGAAATATATTGTGAAATAAAACATTATAATCGTATATTATTGTTTCAAATATATCTGGTTTATTTCAGAGCATGAGGTTATAGTGCATCGTTTTCTTACTTTGTTGTCGTCTGTTCACATTCTTTTTAGTTAAATCACTACTAAAATTTAAACTCTATAGACATCTCCCCGTCAACCGTAGTAAATTTCTGTAACGAGGCCAATGGGTGCTCGCACACGTCAATTATCCAGTAATAGTTTACATAGTTAATTGACATCCACATAACAGCAACAACAAATCGATCACTGGGTATTTCCACTGTCTTTATTACTGTCTATTCATGTTCTTGAGTAGTATAATCATAGAAGTGCAAGTTTTCCTTACTGTTCTCGTTTTTATCTAACAATAAATGTAGGCCTGTGGTTGTTTTTTGTGAAGGCTGTAACTAAGGTAACAGCTGTTTCACACCAGTTTATACTGTTTTTATAATTTTTGTCATGTATGTGAGAAGGCATGAGATTCTCCAACGGGTTTTGTTTGGCGAACAATAACCTGTTGTCTCGACTACGTAAAATGTTATTATTATTATTATTATTATTATTAATATTAATATTATTATTAATATTCTGATTAAAGTACACCTGGATCACTTGTTTATCATTGACTTTACTTTCAGTATTTATTTGTCTTCCAATTGTGTACCGATACATATGCATTTCGATAATTATGCAAATATTTTTTATATTTGTTAGAATACATAAACATTGGTACATGGGAGCACCAAATACATATGCGCCACACAAATCGAATGGATCCCCCAAACAGAAGCAGGTGGTTTTCTTAAAGTTCGCACCTCAGCCTTTGACCTAAAGGTATAAGCCATAAGGCAGTGGAGCAATGTTAAGAGATGCAGTCCTATGGTTGCTGGTTACCAACAATAGATTGACAGGCCATTTGTTCCTTCAGGATCCTGAAACCAATGTGCACCATTGGTTTGGAATTAGGGTTTTCCAACTAACTCTTCTAGATGAGTCCTCCATATCTACTAATCCGGGTAAAGTGCTGGATATTATTTTTTTTGGCCTTTCAACTTCGTAAACAACACCTCGACCACGATAAGGCAGTGAGCAGGATTCCCTTGTGAGTGGCTGTATATTCGTGACCATGTGAGAGCATTTGGAGAGGGAGAACGGACTCTCCCCACCCTCATCCTTACCAGAGCACATAGGGACATACAAATAACTTGAGTAAAGTTAACACGTACTGACCAATGGTTAGGTAATGCGTAAGTACCTTAATCTAGAAACTATTTCTCAATCATCCTATATATAGTTATATGAAGTTTATGATTCAGTTGTTATAACGAGTTGTACTCTTTGATGACTAAAACATATTATCTACGGCCATCTGTTTTCAAGTTTATCTTGTTTCTTTACAAAGATAATGTAGTGGTATTTATTTTCACTCGACATTTTCACAGTATCTTTAATATCGTTACAGTATACACTGATTAATATTTTCTCTTTATTTGCATACATACATAGTGTTCGCGAAGTTGGAATGAAATGTTTGGACTCATATATTGAGTTTCTTGTAAATAATCAATACAAAGAGCTTATTACATCAGACATGTAAGTTTTTATATATTAATTCATTTCAGTAGAACAATCACTTTTTTTAAGAGTAGACTTCCTGATATAAGCTTTTAGAAAACAAACATAAAGAGCAATGAAATATTTCTGTTCGACTACCTCCTTGTAATGGCCTTTCACCAATGTCATTCAACAAGTCATATGCAACGTATGATGAGCTTACACATTAATAATAACATCAGAAACGATTGAGCATACAATATAGATCAAGAAAACATGAATTCATGGAATACAAAATTTATTAGGTTTATTAAGAGATCTCGGCCATTACTAATGATTCTGAGTCACATTGCTCAAAGTCTTTAATCTCTTAAATAGAGCAAGAACAAAGATTGGTGCAGAATCACCAAGATGCATATTTAACAATACTAACAAAATCGATATTGAGCCAGTGGTAGCGCGTTAAACAATGATATAGCATTTAAAGGTGTTCATGAAAATATTTACATTAACTTTTACTTTATAAATCGTTTGTTATTCTATTATTCAATATCAATAACATTGTTTCTTTTAATGTTTTACCATATATATATTTAGGATTGAAGAAGTGATGACTAGCATTGCACAACAAGCTGTTGAAAAAATCGATCGGACGCGAGATGTAGCTGGTCAAGTGTTCGCTCATTTACTCCATCATGAGTGAGTGAATCATGTTCTCATGCCTTATTTACTCTTGTTTTTTGACGCGACCTATTAAGTTTCCTAATGAAAAAGGTAAATCGAGTCGGAGAAAATTGAATTTCGAATAAAAAGTACTAATAAGTAATTAAAAAGAAGTGAAACAAGAAAATAAATTAGTTCAGCTATTCTCATTTTAAAATTAAGTAGAGTCATAAAAGCATATATTTATAGTGACTAACCGTTGATTTGAATTTGATCAACATATAGATCTTGCTGTTCACAAAAACTGTATTTAGAACTATACAGTATGGAAATAAAAACCGGACAATAAGCTTGGTTTTTATTAAAATTATATTTTTATAAATTACATTTATGAAGCCTATGTTATTGTTATTGTTTCATTATACATTACAACATGTATCACCTAATTCACCGTGAATGGTGTATCTTAGTTGCTAAATGAAAATTAGACTGTATTGTTTAAAATTTCATAGCTAGAAATTAATTGACAGGATCTACTGAAAATAATTTTTCATTGATGTGAAAATGGTTTTTCATGCATGCAAATTGTAATAACATCTAACTATTTTTTTTTGTTTTCAACAGTCCTCCTATCGAACACATTCCTCATTTTGAAGAACTGAAACAAATTTTCCCAAAGTAATTTCTACATATCACTTGTTATTTTTAACGATAATTCTTTTGGCTCAATATTAATTTCTGTAAAGTAGAATTATCGCTGCGTAATAGTTCATGAAACTGTGTTAAATTGCTTGGATTACCCATAGTATTCACCTGGTGCTATTAAGTGTTATATAATTATTACTTTTAAATTTGATACTATTTTTATTTTCTTCTCTGTATAATTCAAATATGTCTCAATGTTACTTCCGTAAGTGTGTCATTCATCATTTAATATTATATCACTCCAACGGTATCGGATACCGATTTATGGTTTCTGATGTAAATTTTTGTAAAACGCTTGTTTAGACAATATTATCAAATGTCTTTTTACTGAAGATATGGTTTACTAACGACCTTCAGGGAATCCTAAATGATATTGAGAAAGTAAGGCCAATTTTTTATTCAGTCAAACTATAGTCCACATAGATGAATAATTTATTACTCAGAAATCCTAAAATGGCTTGGAGTTGTGGGTAGTGTTTAAGAGTAGAATCGAAGCATGGTTTGTTGCTTGTTGGCTGAATAATTATGCAGATGTTTCTTTGGTTAAAAATACCCAAAACCTTTGACTTACCTTTAAAAGCTTCCTATTCTCTAGGTATCTCATGCTTATCGACTGTAACTGTCTTAGCAACTAAATATTATCAGATTTATGCTAAAATCCTAGTGTGATACAAATTACCCATCACGACATTTTGAATTCCATTCAAAAACCCAGTTGTTTCTTTTTTAAATCTGATTAACTCGCCGATAAACGCATATTTTCCACCCTGTTTTCTAGTAGATATTCTCTTCATTTTGGTCTAATACACACACAACCTGACATGGTGATCTATGGTTAAAAATGAGCTCTTCATTACATTCAGATCAAAAATATTTATCAGTAGAAACATTAACACATCATCACTGAAAATCATATATAGCTAAATGTTTGGTGAAATTAACCAATTGTGTTGGGGATACCCAGAAAATTCCCCGATAAAAGTCCGATGGAGCCCTGAAAACTCTGGGAAACATTTTGTCCATTCAGCGTTGAATAGAAGCTTATCAGAAACATCTAGATAGTGAAAAGTCACATGTCACATTCCTGATTGGATGATTACCTATCTTGCTACTGTGTTCAGTAGGGTTCCATAACTTTTCAGAAACCCAAGGTCATCTGAAATGCTAAAAACACCCTAGATTTTCGTCACATAAACGACCCTTGGAGTAAGGCGTTATTTCCATATTACGGGTTTTTTCTCTCGTATTCTCGTTGTCGTGTATAGTTAGCCTGGGGTTACTAGAAGAGTTTAGGGAACCAATCCAAGCGTTCAGACAGGTCTATGAAATTAAAATGGTATCAAATATGTATTTATTACTTAAGACTTTGAATAAGAACAGAAATCAGTGTATCCACCCTAATACAATTGATCTTAAATGATTTATTATCCGAAACAATATCCATTATGAGTTTTTATGTTATTTTCGAACATCATAGTGAGAAAATGTATTTATACTAAGAATTGATATTTCGGTAAAACGTTTGCTGTTGCATTTTCTTCAATCAACCAACTACCCATGTGAACGTAACTGTTATTTCATTTTGTTTTGTTTTTGTTAAATTTATTACTAGATCTGATTGTGATGAAATGATATGGAATTCGGCCAATTCAACATTTCATCGTTTTACGAAATTGTTGGATTTTCCAGAATATCGTTATCGTTTAATTTTAGGCTTAATCGTCAGTGTCGGTGGTCTGACAGAATTAACAGTTAGTAAAATGTTTTAAAGAATTTCTGTCTACCTATTTCTTTTTCATTTATTGCAGTTTTTACAAGTTGAATTCACGATTCGACCTGGGCTAGATCATCATTGAAAACCTGGAAGCACTAGATGGCCGTTTCGTCCTAGTATGGGACTCCACAACAGTGAGCATTTACGGTTTCGCAAGCGAGACTCAAACCCAGGACCTTCGGTCTTGCGCGAGAACACTTGACCTCTAGACCACTGAGCTGGCATGTAACGGTGTTAATGTCTAACTCCAACCAGTCCACAATATCGTGCTTTGCTGAGTCCCATACAAGGACGAAAGGTTCATCCAGTGCTTCCATATTTTCTGTAGTGGTCCAGTTTAGACAGACTCGTGAATTCAACTTTGGAAGTACTATAATCTCTACGAATGCCCTTACTGATAATAAAGTTTTCTCAATTCTTCTATGTTCAAGAATTCATTTTTTCTATGTAGTAGTTATTTTTAATGCTTAAGGTGTAGATATATTTTTCTCATTTGTAAAATTATCTTTCGAACAGGAAATATCGAATTTCTGTAGTTCTCATATATTCTTTTCCAGTGGATGCACAAAAAAACGCGTTGAGTCTTAGTGTTTATCTTTCGCTCTCGATTATTGATAACTATTTAATATGAACCGCCATATTAAATCATACATCTAGATTGCCTTTTTGCAATCTTAAATAACAAGTCGATCAGCACTGAAGGTTAAATAAAATTACATTGTATACATTCATAATTTACATTAAAAGAAAACAAATATTTCGTGAGGATTTTTTTTCAATAATTTTATTACTAAAAACGGTACGATCATAGTTAGAAAATACGAAAATATAAGGCCAGTCAAGAACATTACAGTAAATGACTATAAAAATTGTTGGTGTACAGATTGGTTTGGTTTTATGTTGGATATCACTAACGCTGATACAGTGCAAAAGTAATGTGTATACACACTGCAGTAAATCCGATTTAATCTTCATTTAATTACTTGAGAAATTCTTCCTGAATCTTTCACTTTGTATTTTTGTCCTGAAAAATAAATCAGAAAAAGCGTTTATCGTCGAATGGCACTGTTAGTCACAGTCCAACTTACTGAAAGTTTGTGTGTATGATTATTCATTTCTTTATACGTAGTTTGCATGTATGTAATTCTCTGATGCTTCTTATGAAAACCTTTATTTTCTGTCTATAACTTAAAATACTCAGTACTTCAATAACGTTTTAGACATCTATTCTGAAATATTTTAAAATTTTGTTGTTTCAATCCTTCTTATCTAGATCATAGCTTTTAAATTCACTTAAGTCTATAGTCATCGTGATAATAAAGAATGCTGGGAAAATCATTAATTGTTCAGAAAGAGTTTTCTTCAGTTCATAGACTTGAAATTCTGTAACGATTATAGTTATACATTGATAAAATAATTTTAGAGAAAAGATAGAAATATCATTCGCTAGTACTTTTCAGTTGATTGATCTTGTTAAAATGAAAAGCAACTTCAGGTTAGAAAACGGTACAATGAAACATCAACCAGAGATATATCACTGGTCTCTTCTCTTACCTTATAGTTTTATCGGAAACTAGTTTGTATCCTAATATAATTGCGTTAGATTGAACATGTTGCTGAATCGCCCTAAATTAAAATCACTGACGAGGTTGGAAAATTGACTTATCATATGAATTTAACTGGTCTCAGTAAAATATTTGTGGTATACTTCAACGGTTGATTGTTTACACAAAATCCACCCCTATCCAAATCGTTAATCAGAATACCGAAAAATTTAGTCAATTACCTTGTATTGCTTGTATTTTTCTAGACTCAAAAACTCATGTAATTATGATCACCAAATCAATGACCACAATACGCCATAAATAAGGAATTTCAGTAGATGCATAACTGAGATAAGTAACTGATTTATTGTCATTTAGTCTGCAGAGAATGCACATCTGATCGAGTACAGATCTAAACATCAATGGGACGATTTAAATAACCAACATACGTGAGTTAATTAATTATATTTTATAAGAAGCCAACATAAGCCTCAACAATTAACGAGTCAAAGAATTGCTTGTAATTAGTATAATTTATAAACTTCCCCGTATATTCTCCCATTTTTAACAGTTGAGATTCACGAATGTACTGTTATTAGAATAACAGGACCACTAACCAGCAAAATAGATTTTTCTCTTGATAAGATAACATCCTGATATCCGAAATATTGGATACATAATGTAATCAAAATAGGCACTTTGGAGATTAAAATTTCATTGACTACTTAATCATAGGTAGGATAAACACTCTACTGTAAAGCTTGATTCTTCTCTGTCACATCAGTTTTCGTAAGTGTGATTATTTTCGGTATTCTGTGTTCAGTTGTATAAACTGTTGAATTGACTCAATGTCTCCATTTTTCAGTGTTCTAAAACTTTATATCATATTTATTGTGTGTTTGATTACTATTAATCAAGAATGATCTTTTACATTTAACAACAAATTTGTACAAAAAATGTTAAACAGATTTATTATATCAGTAAAAACCTGTCACACTTCTCATTATATTTTTTATACACTTTTTTAAAATCACATCTGCTGTTTGTTTGTTTTCTTTTATCATGTAGATTCGGTGTAGCACTTCAGCTTTAAGTGCATATTTTCTTGATCATGAATCAGATCAGCTGTTTATTGTTGAAGTGTTAAAGATTGTTGAACAGATTCTGCAATCGTTTCGACAAGAAGAGAGGTAATTAGTTTGCTTAGTTTACTTTTATAAGATGTAATTGCTGTGTGTAGATAATAGTGGCTCTAGTGATATTTTCTAATCACCTTCGAAAACTCAATAATTATTACAATGTGCTAATGATCCAGTATTTGTATTCCCAAATATTCACTATTAGGTTGAAACTGCATTCCGTTCACTTTGGTTTAGGTATGTGGGCTTCATGCATACGATATCCCACAAAACCGAGATGGTGGATTCATCGTTGGTGACTTAGTGTATGAATTCGCTTGGCTTTGTCTAACTTGCCTCACTTGTGGCGTAGGCGAAATGTCCGTTTACCAACTAATAAACGAGTGCACTGTGCAGCGGTTTTTTAATGATTGTAAAACGTGGCTTTTGAATATAATTGATATTCGTGGGTTACTGGTATTTGATTATAAATGCCTACAATGCATTCTTGTTGTATGTTGTGATCACCTAGTGAGCGATGCTGTGGTTATACCCGGAGTACTGGTTAAAGAATATGAATTAGTTGTTGAAATAGTCAATGTTCATTGACTGAGATGGCTGAGGGATATTTTTTGTCTGCCCAACTACCACCCAACTCGGTGCGATAGTGTTGGAGTTGATTTGGATAAAGCTGGAGTTGATCAGTTAAAATGTCATATCAGTGCACGGATTCATCGTCAGTTGGACTGAGCCATGTATGTAGATCTAGATTTTCTGGTTAAGGACTGCACGTTTATCATAGCCAGTCATTAGAGAGTTTTGGCGATATGTCTTTGAATCGTTCACGGTGGTGCTGACATATTCACTCTTTGTACTCCCTTTGATCCTGAGTTCCTATATTATCTTGCAATTCTTTATTATCATTCCACATTTTCATATATATATTTTTAATCATATCTTCTGTACGTAATCGTTCATGATATCACTGATGCTGTTACTATTTCTACAACCCTGAGATTTGTTTTGTTAATTTAATCTGGTTGTTCTGTGTTGTAGAAACTTAAATCGATGTACATATGTGGTAGGTTTTACGTTGAATTTGACTGACTGAGTGCGCATAATAGTATATCATGATTGAAGTGTTGATTGCTTTGTAAGATATATCTCGTGTACAGATGTTGATGATGTACCTACTAGAGCACTTCGAATGATAGTCTCTGTTGTGTCTTGTTGTTGGGGTTCCATACGGCCTACAGTGTCACGGATTTAAGATCAAAGACGACTGAGCTTCTCTAATACGATCGGTTCTCTTCGGAACTGACAACAGTCAATTATGTTCAACTTTAAAACCTCGACGGTTAAGACAGGAATAAAACGGAATTGCAGGTAACTTTATATTTGTGTTAGAACAATCAACTCAAACGAAATTAATACAAAAGTTGTTACCATATTAGCAGAATATGACCTTTGAGCATGTAGCAATTCAGCAAACAAAAAAAAACATGACAATCAATCCGGTCATGCAGAAAATCGAATTGGTAGAACGTATGCGAGCGGTTATCGTTCCAGAAGAGATCTTTGCCTTCCCAATAAGATCTGACTATTCTTGCAACCGCCTTAGCTGTTTCTCTTTGAAGTATCGATTAAACTTGGTGTATATTGATGTAGGATTTCAAAATACCGAAAGTCTGATATGTTTTCAGTTTTTTGAATTGTGAGCAGTCTTACAATACAATAATATTTGAATGGTTTTATTTACTATTTTGTTCATAGGATTGTTATTCCTCTTTTTAAATTTTTGGACTTTTTACTGAATGATCCGATTGTCAACTCAACAGTTGATCCAAACAGGTAAGTTTGTCATTGTTATATATATAGTATTATTTAATTATTCATTCTTTCATTTCCAAGTAAACATATCCTTTATGATTTATTGTGCATTCGATGCTTCGTTACTGAAAATTATTTTCATAATAAAATAATATCAGAAAAGCCACAAATGACTATGGATTACTGGTCAACTACTTTTCCATAATTCGTGACTCCTCATCAACGATTACCGAAGATTTTACGGTGTCGAGTACAGAACTTTGAGGTTTCACAGAAAACATAAAGCCTTTATAACATTTGGTCTTGTATTCTATGGTAATGGTCACTGTTGTCCAGACAAAGTAAAGACACCCGTCCAGTGATTCGTGGTGTTTATTGGTTTGACATCACTTCATAATGAAAAAAATTTAAAATCTATGAAGTTCTTCGAAATATTACCCAACTTATACTTCATTATTACTAAGAGAGGTTCGAAGAACTCTACTATTATATTATCTGAAACGCATACTTTCTTGAGCGAAAATGGTTTATTTTCTTAGGACATTACATATGCATTGGTGTAAGGGAATTGGAAATGAAATAAGTATATGAATATATATTGAAAGTTGCAATAACATACTATTGGTATATTCAAGGCTATACCACTTCCTTAATGTAGAATACATTCACTAAATATATTGTTAAATAGTACTTTTATAACATATACATATTATCTATATACTGTAATGTTAATGTTGAAATTATTTTGGAAACTGTTTTCATTATTTTATCATCATTACAACAAATAAAATTATTAGTTTGTGTTTGCTTTATTGGTTATAATTACATTATGCGTATCATTTATCTGAAATCATAAACTAATCTGCATGCCAAATTAATGGATAGTCAATAAGTTTTGAACTTATCTCGTGTCATTTTATTACCTTTGACCCATTACGTTTATCATCCGCATTGTAAGTATAAGCACCAAAGGTTTGAGTTGGTAATTTCAAATAAATTAAGCATTGAGTCAAATGTTAATCATAGAATAATAATGTATTTTTGATATCCCAATGAATAAAAAGTAGAAATTCTAAGGGTTCATGATTTATTGTAAGCCACTTCTTCAATGTAAATTATTAGTGAAATTTGATTTTTTTTATTAACTCTGAAGAAGGGGTTTACAGTATGCTAGGAACCGTCAGAATTTCTAATTTCTGCTCATTAAGATATTTCAAGTAATGTTCTTGTTACTTCCATAACTATTATTGTTATCAGTAGTAGTATTACTATTATTTTCGAATTATTATGAACACCACTTGTTTTTCATCCACCTGGGTTACAAATCTTCACCATCTCAACTCTACGTGTTGATAAATGGGATTTATATATCTTTTTGTTTATTTTTTGTTATCCTGTCTGTACAGTCCAATTCTTTTACAATTAACGGAAAGTGTATGGAATGAAACCAAACTAAATAAAGATGTACAACGTATTAAAGCTGCTATCGATGTGTAAGTCATTGGTGTTTAACTGCTTAAAAAGGTGCTTTAAAACAGCACTAAACTGATGAAGTACAGTTTATTGCATTTGGTATTTATCTTGTTAATAAAACCCGATACATTTTGATGTTGTAAGTTTTATGAGATTTTTATTATTATTGAAGATAATAATTAAGGGAATTTAGTCAATATTTTATGCATATAGTGATATTTGCATGCGAAATTAGTTTCTTGTCAGTCAAAACCGAATAAAGCTGTTTGTTTGTTTGTTTGTTTGTGTGTGTAATTTATAGACCAAGTGGTCTTACGCGGAAATCGACAATAACGGCATAACTCCACCAGTGTGCTAATATCATGTACTTTATGTTCTAGTATTCGGGAGTTTTATATCATTATTTACTTACTTACCTACTTACTTACGCCTGTTACTCCCAAAAAACGGGAATTGGTTTATCACAGGGCGGCCTGCTTGAGCATCTGGGCTACCTGTTCCTGCCATCTAGATATTTCAACAAGTTATCTATTGTTGTTTGTTTTAATATATCATTATGTTTATTAATCGCATAACCTATTCTGCTGCGTTTCTGAAAAGTGTACAACCTTTCGTTATCAAAGTTACAGAAAACTCAATAAGAGACAATATGGTTGCTGGCAACGTACAACGAAAAGAATGTACATTATTCAGTTGTTCATTCACTGAAGTGCTAACATCGAACTGGCGATTCCTCAATATTTATCGCCAGGACCGACCAAGAAGAAAGAAACGGAAACTTGTTGAAATACTTTGCGCTGAGAATTCTATATTGTACCAAAATTATAATATTGAATAAAGCTAATAATAATAATAATAATAATAATAATAATAATAATAATAATAATAATAATAATAATAATAATGGAGCATAGGCCGCCGACCAGCATTCTCCAACCTACTCTGTCATGGGCCTTCCTTTCTAGTTCTATTCAATCGCTGTTCATTCTTCGCATGTCTGTCTCCATTTCTCGACGTAGTGTGTTCTTTGACCCTGAGTATTGCAAGTGAGGGCTTTTCTTGTGACACAGTTGGTTGCTTTCCTCAACATGTGTCCTATCCACTTCCAGCGCTTCTTCCTAATTTCTTCTTCTGCTGGGATCTGGTTTGTTCTCTCCCACAGTAGGTTGTTGCTGATAGTGTCTGGCCGACAGATCCGAGGTATTTTGCGTAGGCAACTGTTAATAAACACTTGTATCTTCTGGATGATGGCTTTCGTAGTTCTCCAGGTTTCCTCCCCATACAGTTGAACTGTGTTGACATTTGCATTGAAAGTTCTGATCTTCGTGTTGGTTGACAGTTGTTTTGAGTTCCAGATGTTCTTCATTTATAAATATGCTGGTCTTGCTTTGCTGATCCGCGCCTTCACGTCTGCATCAGATCCACCGTGTTCATCAATGATTCTGCTCAGATATGTGAAGGTTTTTACATCTTCCAAATCTTCTCCGTCAAGTGTGATTGGATTGTTGCATGTTGTGTTGTATCGGAGAATCTTGCTTTTCCCTTTGTACATGTTGAGACTTACTACTGCTGAGGCTGCTGCTACACTGGTCGTCTTCTCCTTCATTTATTGTTGCGTGTGCAACTTTATATGTCATTGTTCACACAATAAAATAACACTGTTCTTGAATTTCTCATACAATATAGATTTGATTTTACATATCAGGACATTTATTTATTTATTTTTACCTATATATATAGATTTGGTGGGATGTTACAATTCACTGGGCCTGTTCGAAAGCGATCTCTATCGTTAATGATGGTCATGTTGGGATCTCGTTACCCAATTGTAGGTTTGACATGAACTACTGTTTAATTAGTGGTAGTGTATCTGTAAATGTATTTTGGATTCACATGTCATTATTTAAATGGTTACTACTTTTAAATTTAACCAAGTGTTTTATCAATTAATACTATCGTATGTATTTATTCAAATAATCAGATGGAATGTAGTTATATGGTTGTTATTCTTTGCCCATATAAAGCTTTTCGAAAAAAGCATTAATGTACAGAAATTATTGATTTTCTTTTCAACTAACTATAAAGAAAAATGAAAGACAGTTTGGCGAAGAAACTTTTCTCTTCCACGATATTGTTAACCGAAGCTGTAAAGTCGTATTTATTGATAATGTTTACAAATAGTAGTTTATAATGTCACATGTTGCATCATCATCATGGTAGTATAAGAGACTAAACATATTTGGTCTCATTAAGTCGAAGGATAAACTAAGTTTACTTTCAATCAGAGAAAGTAACATGAACTTGTACACAATGGCATCGATCTATACACTCTTTGTCGTCGATTAAGCTATGAGATTAAAATTTCTTCATATCTTTCTTTCTACGAAATAATTCTATCTTCCTGTATTATGTCCTTATAGGAAATCTTTATTTTATATTTTACCAGCACTACTTCTATGAATCCAGTGTTGATCTTGTTGTACTTATGAGGTATGGCAACTTGAAACGACGCACATATGTGCCTGGTCCTACGTTGTAGCTGACTGACTGACTGTGCGAATAACGCAATTGACATCAGAATTGAAAACCTCGGGAAATATGTAACAGAAAAAACCAACCACCTAGGTTCATCGATGAAGATCTGAAGCCAAGACGGCTACTTGAGAGATTTTCAATAGTACCAAAGTTCCTCTACATCACTGTTCATTCCAAAAAACAAATTTAGCAGATATTCTTAAAAATAAACTTTCAAGAGCTTTGAGAAACACTATTTATTTGGTTGAACTTCGCATTGCTTTCTCTAGTTAACTTTTGATTTAGAGTTGCATAAGAACCAAGCTCTTGCTCTGGGTCACATTAATATACATAAGTTAATTTGGTCTTATAGAATAGATTGTGTAGGTTGTACAAAGCAAGCTACTTTGAATGTATGTTTTGCCTGGCTTACCGTATGTTTACACATATCAATCAACATTGTAATCAAAGAACATCTTGGAAATTTTGATCAAGTTCATTTTCTAGAACCTTTTTTCAAAATCATTTATATAGTTAAAAGAACTGGCTGTAAATGAATACAAACTTAAAATATGTATATAATAAGAGCTCTAACAATTCAATGACATAACACACTATTTTGTAAACTGCTATTTGCTAAAATTAACTCTAAATACTATTGTACAGCTTAAGTAGATGATATCGTTAAAAAAATCATTTTCTTGCCTGAATTGTCTTTTTCTTTTTTCTGTGCTGATTATCCCACAAGCACAACGTTAACGCTGGTAGCAGAAATGTTAAATGAAGACAAATTACACTGTGATGTTTTAAAAGTTGATTTCATCTTATTGTTAATAATCTCTTTTCGGACACATACACTCTCTGTTCAGTATTTTGTATAATAATACTTATTTTGAATTAACTTCCTTTTGTTGAAAAATTCAGATTCGTAAGACAACCGCAACAGAATTGTATGAAGGTTTACTGGTTTATGAGTTATGTTCATCTGAGTTATTAGATCAAGTATCATCCATACTTACTGAAACCATCTGGTGAGTTTTTATGTTTATATACACATTTTTCTTATTATTTATTTTCTTGTGGAAATGATATGGTTGGATTTATGTTGATATTTGTATATTTGTCTTGTTTAAAATCAACGTGTATACTTGTACCTGGGAAAAACCCGTTAATTTCAACTTAGTATGCATGACTTTAGACAATGACGATTAATTTTTAGGTAATTGTGTTAACCTTCACTGGCTCAGGTGCATGAGTGATGTGTGTTGGACGATTCACCACCCATCACAATTTGCCACCTTTGACAAATTTGGCTCAATTTAGAAAATATTGTGTTGAAACATGTCAGTAATTCATATAATCACATATCTATTTTCAGTTATTTAACGAAGCTCATATTCTCTAAGTGCTGTCAGCGAGATGTCACAAATTTGTGGTTAGAAGACTTTTGTATTGACATTCGCTACATTTGTACAGATCTATCCACTTATTGCTCTGTGTAATTCCTAAATATTTAGTTACTTTTCGTTTTGTTTCCTGTTTGGGCCTGTGGTTTGTACCATGTTCATATACACATACATTCTAATTTTTCCTCATAAATATAATAGTTTGTCTTTGCCACTACTTTTATTGATAACTTTGGTTTAACGATTGTGTTTTTCTTTCGACTAAGAAAAATTTCCTATTGCTTTCTAAATTCATCAGGGAAGGTGATATTGAAGTAGTCAGACCAATTCGTAATCAACTTTGTGAATTATTTCAAGTTCCTGTACCAAGAATAGCGAGTAATACTCAGAACCATACATCACCAGCTTGAAAAGTTTATGGAATGAAGCTTCTAATGCAAATATAATCTATGAGGATTTGTTTCATACAAATGTGAATATATATAACAATATGAAGAAAATATAATTTTATTTAATTGTAGTAATGTTATTTAATATTCTGCATTATTTATTTTCGTGTTCTGAAACAATTCGTTGTTTTTTTTATTGTAATGTAAATACTTCATTGTTAATAATGATTGCTAAGCAAGAATTTTCAATGTATGTTACTCGGTCATATTTGTTTTATTTATCGAAATACGTCAAGTTAAATTAATGTTCTTTGATAAATAAGATCGGATTGATTATTAAGGATGGATTTATGTCTATTAATTAAAATGTAAAGTGTAACTAGACGTTGATTATTTTATTGATATGATTCGTTGTGTGATTAGTTATAGATGTTAGAGTTTGTCAAGTTTAATAAGCTGGGACCGAAAGTAACCTTAGAAGCGCTACAGGCAGGATAGTGCAATATACGTCCGCTACATAAGTTGCTTGGTGTATCTTGAATAGTACATCCAAGTTACTCAGCTGAAAATTTTAATTATGAAATTAATTTTCTCCAAATTGTTGAAAATAAAAATGAAAGATAAATTGCTACAAACTTTTTTATGAAGTGGATGTAATCAAATTATGCTAACCATCCAGTTATTTTAATTGTAGAAGAGTGCTAGCAATTAAAGTGTGGAGCATTTTACTTATTATAACATGTATAGAAACTGTGATTTTTAGGTATTTGTATTATACTGTTGTTGGTATTCAGAGTTGATTTTTCATTCCATTGTTGGAATATGTGCATTCTGACAAGATTATATCGATATAAGTTTGTTCTTACAACTCTTGGGATGAAGTTACTAACCCGTCTTTATCCGGGACTGGCAGTCATCCTGAAAAGATACTAAGCGAAATTGCTTTTCTTTTAAACAACCTAACAGTCCTAAAAGACTGCTACAGTTTGAAATACATTCGGATATTAGTCCCTGATAACATAAGTTAATTTATTTAGGGCTTTAACCATTTCTAGACCTTACTATAATACATTTAACTAATTACTCTTCGAACGAGTTATGTTTTTCACTAATATCAGGATACCATTTAAGTAACACCACTCATAGCCCTATAGAATAGAATGTCGTTTCGAGCTTTTTCCTAAGTATAGTGTTTATGATAAAGGTCATTTTTGCATTGTTTGCTGTAAAAGTAAATTTATACAGTCGTATTTTAATCTTCATAGACATAATGACAGTATAAATTAATACGATTTCATTTTCATACTAAAAATCCAATGCTTAGTGTTTACATAATTACTCCGAAAATTTCTTTTTTAATTATTTGGAATGGGATTGATATTTAGTTAGTTTATCAAACTTTAATTGGACATGCTGACAATCATATAAAAAGCAGCATATTAATCATTTGTAATATTTGTAGTTAATAGGCTAACAAAATATTAGAAATATCTCACTAAACTGTGCAACCCTTCAGAATAATTAAAGAACCTATTAAAAACAACTCGTAAATTCATATCGCTTTAGTTTAGTTTGATCAGTGAGTTAGTTAATATATATCACGATTTATACAAGTCTCTTGTTTGTTTATTGTTTCATTCAATTTACCGAAACATTTCATGTTATTAATCTAATCAAATATTTATGTTAATGAAAAACAAGGGATACACAAAGAAATCTCGTTGATGACATTACCTATTTAATACTTGTAAACTACAATAAATATTATTTGAAGTTCTTTTGGAAAATATACGTAATAATTAATCCCTTGTATTTGGCGTAGTTCGTCAGTTACAGGAAGTATTGTATAAAGTTGTGAAATTTTTCCTACAACTGTAGCATAATGCACATATTTACTGTTTTTCACTTTACATTTCACCATCTTATTGAGTTTAAAATCTATGTAATTTAAATGTGACCAGTGATTTTGAACAATTCTACTACCATGATTTTAAATAAATTTTATTCGACTACTAGTTTTCTATCACGACTTACTTCAGCAGTGCACCAGTGTAAATTACTGAAAAGAATAATAATGTACCATGATCCTAATCGTTTATGTTTAGTTTATGCGATCAGGAAGCTAATTTCCAGACAAGTGTTACAATGAAACAGTGAGATTATACCAAAATAAGTTAGTATCGTCACTATCTTTACTTTTCGCTACAGATAACGGTTAATTATTCATGATGGTTAGTGTTAATTATTGATCAATCTACCTAAATACGGACAATTCGTTTTCACTTTATAATACAGTAAAACATTAGCTTCATATGTAGTTCAAATGAGTAACAAACTACACTTAAACACACTTTTTTTGTTAGTAATTTCTAATATGTTGATACACAGTCTGTAACTGTACTATAAATAATATCTAGACAACTATATAAGTACTTCAGGTTAGTAGTAAAAATTCAGCCCCCGAATGCCCTGGTACGGCCGAGAGTGGGGAGAGTCCGCTCTCCCTCTCGAAATATTCTCACACGGCCGCGCGTATACAGCCTCTGCCAGGGAAGTACTACTCATTGCCTTCTCGTGGCTGGGGTGTTGTTTACGAAAATCAGAGGACGAAAAGCGAATGCCCGGCGCTTTAACCGGGTCACAAATCAATGGTGCACATGGGCTCCAGTATCCTGCGGGAACAAATGGCGTATGAACCGGTCGTTGGTCACCGGCTACCATGGGATCGCATCTCCTTACGATGCTCCACTGCCTTGTGGGTTAGACCTTTAGGTCAAAGGCTCGGGGAGTGGCCCCCTAAGAAAACCACCTGCTTCGGTTTGGGCACTCGGGCAGTATCACAGCCCATACACAAATGATGAACTTTCTATGCCTATGGAAATTAGTTTTCTCGATTCGAAAAACAATCAATTGATTCAAATTATTATCATTACAATTATTGTCATTATTAATACTATTATTATTATTACTACTATTATTGTCATTATTATTATTATTATTATTATTATTATTATTATTATTATTATTATTATTTACCACATTATTCACCCTCTTTTATACTTACACAGCGGCTCGTCTTTGGTGGAAATTCGACTGTATCTAAACGTTCTCGAGTCACTGTTCGGTTGAAAATTGTATGTTAACACCGAATACGAGGACTGAAGCAGTTTTTCTGAAACCACGTGCATCATTTAAACTGGCTGCCTTCAACGTTCGCACATTTATGCAGGTCGGACAACAGATAGGGCTGGCTATTTCTTTGGAAAGTCTTAATATTGATGTTTGTTGTCTATCCGAGACCCGTATTCAAGACTCTGGCGAAGTACTACAAATTCGATCTCCATCTGTCGCTTCGAAAAGCTTGTTTTACGTGCGCTTATCCGGGGACCCTATGGCATCTTCGTCTAGTCTTGCTGGCGTTGGTGTCGCACTAAGCGCTAGAGCTGAGGCAGCAGTAGTCGATTGGATCCCCAATAACAGTCGGTTATGTGCTGTTAGATTAGAGAGTTCCATCAAAGTGAGAAGAATTCGGCGTGAGAAACGATGTCTTTTCGTCATCTCCGCCTATGCCTTTACAGATTGCAGCCCGGATGCAATCAAGGATGAGTTTTACCACCAGTTATCTGTTCTTCTCCAGAAAGTGCGTTCGACAGATATTGTGGTACTAGCCGGAGACTTGAATGCTCAGGTCGGGCGTCTAGGCACAGAAGAGAGTCGTTTAGGTGGCCGATGGGGACTCGTTGGTCGCAGGTCAGATAACGGGGACCGTCTACTGCAACTGTGCACAGACCACAACCTGTTTCTGGCTAGCACTAACTTTCGACACAGTCATCACCGATGTGCCACCTGGCGTCCTCCTTCTGCATCCCAAGCCTGGACTCAGATTGATCACATCGTGATCAGCTACCGCTGGTGTGGTTGTGTACAAGACTGCCGCTCCTTTTGGAGTACCTATCTGGACTCTGATCATGCCTTGGTCTGCGCCAATCTTACCTTACTTTTCAGTGGACAACGAAGTGACCGCCATCAACGGATTGATATTAGCAAGCTGGTTGCAACTTCTGTTGCAAGTAGGTATCGAACCGAGCTAGCTGCTAGGCTAGCTACCGTTCCACCGAAAAGTATAGATGAGCATTGGTTAAAATTGCATGACGCCATGAAAATGGCGGGTACAGTCAGTTGTGGGTTCGCGAAACGTCACGCTTATAAGCACTGGGTTTCTGCAGGTTCCTTACAACTCATTGAAGCCCGTCGGTCTACTCCTGGTGACCGTGAGTTTGACCATAAACGAAGGATGTTACGTAAGGAAATTGGACAAAGCTTGCGTAAGGACCGAGAAGCCTGGTGGTCGAAGCGTGCTAATGAGCTGGAAGCAGCAGCTGCATCTGGTAACTACGGAAAGCCCTTCCAACTCATCTGAGTCACTGGCAGCAAGAAGTCTGGAGTGAGTGAAACAATCTGCGAGGATGATGGGATGCCAATCACTAACATCCATCGACGTCTTGGACGATGGGCAGAATTTTTCGAAGGGCAGTTCAACTGGCCTGCTGCTCCGGCAAGATCGGTCAGACTGTCCTGCCCTCCATGGCCGGTGACGACTGATCCACCAAATGAGGAGGAAGTCCGCAAGGAACTCCAACTCTTGAAGCGTTACAAATCACCTGGCCCAGATGACTTACCTCCGGCTCTTTTTAAAGATGGTGGTGACTTTTTGACTAAGGAATTGACGACGTTGTTTACAAAGGTTTGGGAACTAGAGAGTGTACCAACGTCATGGAATGAGTCGATAGTTGTCCCTATCTTTAAAAAGGGTTCACGTCGTTCTTGTAACAACTATCGGGGGATAAGTTTACTTCCGATTGCGTTCAAGCTATTGGCTTCCGTCATTCTTCGTAGGTTGTTCAAAACCCGAGAAAGATTGACTCGCGAGGAGCAGGCTGGGTTTCGTTCTGGTCGAGGATGTATTGATCATATCGTCACCCTCCACCAAATGTTAGAACATCGCCATACTTATCAAAGGCCAACAATCGTAGTGTTTCTTGACATCAGGGCTGCCTTCGATTCGTTGGATAGGACTGTTCTCTGGGATTGTCTATTGAAGAAGGGTGTGCCTGAGAAGTTTATTAACATCCTAGAAGCTCTATATACAAACACCTCAGGCAGAATGAGGGCATACAACCACCTCTCTCCATTGTTCCATTCGAGTAGTGGGGTTAGGCAGGGTTGCCTAATCTCACCATTCCTCTTCAACTTTGCCATCGATGACATTCTGGAAGCAGCTCTGATGAATGTAAGTAATGGTGGTGTGGATCTGTTGCCTGGAGAAAGACTTCTCGACCTTGAGTATGCGGACGATATTGTCTTACTGTGCGATAATGCCCAAGGCATGCAATCCGCACTTAATCAGTCGGCAATCAGTGTCCGTAGGTATGGTATGTGCTTTGCACCTTGGAAGTGCAAAGTACTCCTACAAGACTGACAGGATTCCAATCCTGTACTCACCCTGGATGGTGAGCAGATAGACGTAGTCGAGAAGTTCGTGTATCTGGGTAGCTGCATAAGTGCT